GTTGGTATATCTGCTCTTCGTGATGGTTATGATTGACGGCTGGCCAAATCTGGATAAAGATAGTCGATCAGCTTCGTGTTCCACGCATGGATTTAGCTTCTAAAAATATCCATATGGTTCTAGACGACTTTCCCTACCTTATAGACCTTCAATATCGATCGATATATTGCATTTCGATACGGTTTTGTCGCCAAAAGCACCGCCAAATTATTTCCAAGGCTGTGAAGCCCATTCCAGAGTGTTATTAGACCAACCACTAAGCAAAAAGAATGTTTTTAGTACTAAACGTACTCGCTAGTATCCATTCCCAGTCCAAAAATTCAAATAGACCATTAGAAAACCGAAAAACGGAAGGACCAGGAATAGCACGACCATGAGAGACTGACAAAAAATTTGGCGTTGGACACGAAAAGTAAAATCACCTGCAGGGCAAAAATCAGGCTGAAATATCGGTGCATCTGACGAGTCCGTTGACTCAAGGTCGGGTTGGAATTGATAGAAATGTACGTCTTCGCATTCATATAGGAGACGGAGACATAGAAAATTAGGGTGAAGAAGACGACCGAGGCAAAAAACCACAGGTATTGGATGAGACGTTCGAGGTGTTGAAAGTAGCGCACACCCCTGCCGTTACAAAAGACGGGCGCAATTTTGCAGACCTGGAAGTGAGGAAAATCGTCGAAAATTTGCAGAATTCGACTCAAAGATTGATATTTCAGAAATTTTATCTTTTTCGCGCTTTGTTTAGAAGAAAATAGGTTAAACATATGTTAGTTTACAAAGCATAACATGTAGTAATTGATAATATACAGAAAATCCAAAGCGAGATGATCGTAAAAACCTTTTGCTGTTTTAGGTAGCTCAAAGTTTCAAAACGGAATTTTTTTCGAGTGTCGGACGCATTATCAAAATTAGAAAAGCTCAAAAATTTTACGAAAAGAGCGACTAGACTGCGCGATGTGGCTGTGTTCGGGTAGAGGCTGAGTCCAAGGATAGCTGTGAACTGGGGTTCTAAATCTCAGTGATCAACAACACTAGTATGTTGGATCATCGGACAACCATGACTGTATTGTATGCGTGAATGAAAAAACGACTAGTATTAATAGCAGGGATGTGTATAGAAACGCCTGTTTAACGGAGGAAGGCAGCGCTCATCCGTGCCGGTATGCGGTTCCAGTGTATTATTGCTGCCAGGCCAGCAGACTGCTGCACGTATATGAAGCGCGAAAGTATAGACCAAGAGCCCCTGTGCTTCTGACGTGAGCCGAAAGGTTAGCTGAGTAAATATGGAAGCCTTCACCAGCTTTGCAATATACCTGAGAAGATTATTGTAATCAACTGCTAATATTAGGGAGAAACTTCTCGGACGAAATTAAACGATATCGGATCATTAACTGTTGGTTCAGAAAGCTTTTTTGATCAGTTGGCAGAAACTAACCTTTTCAATATTATTTACTTTGAAATCAGTTATTTTTAAATTTGAAAGCTAGTAGCGGCTTTCAAAATAAACTATATTTCGACTTTCATTCTTCTAGATCTTCTCTAAATCTAGGCTGAATTTTAGTGCATGCGCGCCGGACTAAAAAAATAATCGTTCAGGCATAATTTGCTATGAGTATAGTTTGTAGGACTTTGCGGGCTCAGATCGGATCAAAGCGAAAGCAAGTCTATACCGAATTTTTGCCTAAATTTCTATTCTTCAGTTCACAAAGCTCACCAACAAATTCAACTGCGCAATTTTGTATTCTTTCGTCAAATGCGCCTTTCCATTGAGTATAAAATATACAGTAAGACTGAAGGTGGATATTCCAAGGATCCAGAAACAATAATAGAGCGTGATGATCCATATTTCAGCCTGGGCCGTAGGGTAGAACAAATACATTTTGTTGTTGCTAGCCATTTACAGTGGCATCTAATGTTTTGGCGATGATTTAGAAGGGGAGGCTGAAAGCGTTGCCAGGTGCTTTTCGTAATGAAGTCTGAACAGCTGTGATCCGAGACATCAGAAAGTGCTTAATGACTCGGGGTGCAACTGGTACAAAATGTATGCTGTTGTATCTTGTGTAATAAGTAATCTTTCGAAAATCCGTTTCGTTTCGAAATCGAAATCGTTTCAATTAGCATAAATATCAGTAGCCACTCGGGCTAAAATGGTGTCATTTCCTTCTTGACCCTAGTTGCCATGCGGTCGCTTTGGCTCTTGTTGTTGCTATGCCCGACCGTATGCCAATGTTTTCACATGGAAGACTACAAAGTATGGCTATTGACACTTTTCCGTAGTTTTCAAGGGATTTGGACAGCTTTTTTTAAATTTAGGTGAATAACAACAGTGTGTGCATCACGGAGGGTTGTGTGCGAGCGGCCGCTCTTGTGGTAGGAAAATATCTGGAATTTTTGGATTATCAGCCAGGGTACCATCGTTTATACAGTAATACGGCTCGTATAACCGTGTTATTTTAACGGAAAAGTTGTGAATCACCTGATTCCTTTTTTAAGATCGAAAACATGAACCCAGACGCCGACCCGTGCGAGGATTTCCACGAGTTTGCCTGCGGGAGGTTCAATAAAGTAGGTTATAACGAAATAAAAGTCTTACTGCAATCTTAGAGAAATCAAATTGATGCCTTCCAAAAACTGCGCGCCTCCATGAAGGGCCGACCGGAAGGTTAAATACGAAGTTTTTATCCTAGAAAACCTTTTAGCCGTTCTCGAAGAGTGGAACCCGTACGACGTCGAGCTGCAGCGATTCGAGGACGTCTACAAAATGTACGACGGCTGCAAGCGGTTCAAGACGATGGGGACACCACAGAGTCTGGGCTTCAAAATCCGGACGTCTTTATTTTTTTTAGGTTATTCTATAATTATACTCGCGACACTTTTGCCTGGGTGCCATTGTTGAATTTCGGTGAAGAAACGGTAGCTTAACATTTCAGACTGATCACACTTTTCATACTAATTTTGAGAAATCCGATTTCACCTCCATCATCACCGCCGCCACCACCCAAATCTACTTGCCGATTTTTAGCAAGATTTACGCGACGTCGACCTCGATTCGCATTGTAGTCAACGTTCCAAATTAGACTCCAAGCCTTTTAGAACTTTCCCCTCTACGACATAAAAATGGGCACCAACGAAGCAGAAAGGGAAAACAAAATCCGAAAAGCACGTTGCAACCAAAAATGCATCTTAATTTGTTTTTACAGCTGTTCAGTGACTCGCTGGAGTTTTTGGGCGTCACCACCCGCGAGGAGATCGAGTCGGAGCAGGCCAGGATGATCTTGGACCTGATTGATTTGCACACCAAGTTAGCCAATGTAAGGTTGTAAATAATTCTATTTCGTTCTTTGGCATTTCCGGGAGAGATCCTAATTTTTCCATGAATTATATTTATTTTCCTGTTGATTTTATAACGTTTTGCATATAAATGCGCTGGATTTCAATTCGAAAAACTGTTTAGAGAGCCTCGAAAATTCTTCAAAATTTTGACACATCGACGAAAACCTAATTTTCTTGGTCGACAATCAGGTCAGATCAATCAAGTCGAAGGTATTCCAGTTTCCACCTAACTTTGTACAGTTTTGCAACGCAAAACAACCGCAACGCACCCAATGGCCTCCTATTTTATTTTATTTGGGAGCGGAAGCGGCTCGTTGTCTTCAGATCTTCATGGTTGTTGACTTCCCGGCACTTGAAGGACATAAAGACAAGAGAGCCGCCGATCTGGAGCAGTTCACCATGAAGCTGCCCGAGTTTGAAGCCTTGACGGCACCGGTGAGGCTTTAGAATTTCTCGGCCCACCCGTGATGATATACTACAATGCATTTCTATAGTGTTCTCAGTAGTTATTGAATAATAAAAAGTTTTAAAAGTAGTTAGAAATTATGTAATGTTGCACGTTCTTACTTTTTTGTCCGTTTTCTAATTCTTTTTATAAAGTTTTTACATCATGCCATAAAAATTCTCCATGTCTTGTTCTGATGACATACAGGATTTACTAACTAAGTAAATAGGATAGAAGACTAAGAAAATTGGGTTTTCGGCCGGATACTCCCCCCTGATAATCCCGAAAAAGAACAAATTACTCCCGAAACCTGATTTGCCAGATTGACGTCCGCAAAATGATGGCACTTCGACTGCGTGGGATGGAGCTAGAGAAGCTGGACGGCGAGACGCAGATCAAACTGACCGCAGCATCAAAGGAGAAGCTCAGAGATGTACCTCTTGACGGCTTTATGCCCTTGAATTTTACACAAAATCACTCAAATTTCAGTCGATTCAAGTGCTGAGTTCGGCGAAGGAGGAGACGCTGCGGAATCACTTCTTCCTCGAGTGGTTCCAAAAGATGAAAATTAATGTGAACGTGATACGGGCGCACGAGGTGTCGTGTCATCGATGGGTTGGTTTTTGTTTTGGGCAAGCTAGCAGAGACGATTTGGAGCAGCGGTCAAAAGTTTACGTTCTACTTCAGATGGTGTTCATATGTGCTCAAAGTGTCTAAAAAATGCGTTAATTCGACTTTTCTGAATTCATATTCTGGAATGCCAGTTTTTCGCTAAATTCACCTCCAGGTCAAGCTCTATCTGAAAAAAAATCCTTTAATTAAACTATCCCAATTCCTTCTTCTGGAATATCAGCTTTTTGTCTGTTAGTGCGCCGGATTAACTGGAAACGTAGATGATATGCCAAAAAACACCAGCAAATTCGGAATCAGCGTAGAAAACTAGACACAAACCTGATGTAAAATCACAAAGGCGGCTAGACAGCCACATTTTTTAGTTTTTGCATGTTCACTTCCAGGTCAACTCTTCGTACAATCACTTGCTCACCCATCTTTTTGTCACGCGTCGTCGAAATCCGTCGAATGATGCGGCAGCTTTGGTACTGTATTAATTATTGCACCCGATTCCCTGAATTTCAAGGAATTGGCCGAAAGAACCCGCAAAGGCTTCCTAGTGCTAATCACCGACCACGGGCCGCTCGAATACGAGGTCCGAGAGGAAATGCATGAAAAGGTAAATTGATTCTTTTGCATTATTGGGGGGACCAACTTTTTCAGAATCAAATTTTTCAAATATAAATGGTAGACTTTTTAAATTATTTTTACTATTCTTGTACGTCAAAAATCTACAAATTTGTATTGAAAAATTCGAAAAAAATAGGTATTTCGGTTGAAAATGCCGATTTTTGGCCAATTTCGCCTTTAAAAAGTTTTTAGATAGTTTTTCAGTTGAAATATAGTTTTGTATTACTAAAAACACTATTAAAGCCCCCGGTAATGCAAAAATCCTTCGATTATTGTTGTTTACTTTCACTTTAGATAAAATCCGTGAAGCTGAAGATTGGTGGGGATCCCGAGCTGCTGAACGCCACGTTTATGCAGGAATTCTATAATTGGGTACTGCACACGCAAATCAAAGCAATATGCAATGGATCTTTAGGGCGGCTACACATCCAACAAATCGTTCATCGACCAGGTCTTCAAGAATCACATCGATTTTCCGTTAAAGGTATGGCTTTCTCAAAACCGCCTCGATGCTGGTTTTCTGAAACATAGAAGCCCCCGCTGATGGTGGATCCGACGAGTGAAACGGCAGAATACAAACCGGAGTCTAATACGATCGGTTAGATTTAGCACGTTTTCTCACTTCTCTCTGGATCTCTGGCTCTCTCTCTTTCGCTCTCTCTCGCCCTCTCTCGCCCTTTCTCATCTTTCAATATATTCTTTCAGAACTCGGCTCTTTCTTCTTCACTTCCCCCTTCTTCGAGCGCGACTGGCCGATGGAGGCGAAATTCGCTGGACTTGGAGACGTCATCGCGCACGAGTTCTCGCATTCTATCGATGGATCTAAAGGTATTTCTTGCTTTTCGGCTTTCTCCCGCTCTCTCTCTCTCTCTCTCTTTCTCGCTATCTCTCCAGCTTTCTCTCTATCGCTCTCCGTCTTTCTCACTCCGCCTCTCCCTCCCCTCAGCAACAAAAACCCAATTTCCAGGAGGAATCCGTAACAGATTCACCAAACGGCGCCTTCGTCAAGGTTGCATTACCGATCGCCTCGGGCACAAGGTCTTCTTCGACGAGAAAATGATGGTGCGAACCGACTTCCAGAAAGGGTTATCCAATCCTGTAGGTGATCGACCAGAAGGTCATCAACGAGGTGCTGTCCAATCTCTACGGCGTCAGGGTGGCCTTCCAGGTTGACGTTCAATCAATCTCCCTTGATCCGAATTTAGACGTACATGAATGACTGGGTAGATCGGCAGGTTTGGGAACCACCTGGTTGGCCGGGGCTTCAAGAATACGCCCCCCACCAGCGCTTCTTTCTTGCGCAGGCTCAGGTGAGGTTTAAAGCGGAGTCTCAGGGTTGGAAAAGCATGAAAAAGAACCAAGAAAAACCAAAAATTTCAGAAATACTGTGGCCGGCGGCTGGAGGTGCCTTGGGGAGAAAAGTTGGTTGAAAAGCTTTGAAGTCTCTCTCTCACTCTCCCTCTCTCCCTCTCTTTCTTGTGCGCGCTCTCTCTCTCTCTCTCTCTCTCTCTCTGTCTATCTCTCTTTCCTTTTCTAAATAGCTGGTGCAATTTTACTTCTATTTTTTCAGGCCCGGCCCATTCCGAGTCAACATTGTGGGTCCTTGCCCCCCTTTTCCTTACCTATCCCCTTTTCAGATGTATGCCAACATCCCTCAATTCGTCCAAACCTTCTGCTGCACGGTATACTCACGTGTTTTAGCCCTTCAGCTGATTCAAACTTCCAGAAAGAGTCGAAGATGAACTTGGTCAACCGATGCTAGCCCCAGAACCGGCCGGAATCCCTCGGAATCGTCTCCAGTGCTCGAGTGCCTACTGAATTTTTCCTCTCTTCTGCATTCATGGACTTCATATGAATAAACGCTTTGTGCAAAGAGGATGCGGAACATAGTCGAGCAACACAAAACACATAACACTGTTTGTTTTTTCAATTAACACATCGGTTCTTTAGGATTTCCGGGGGGAGAAGTATTTCCGGCGGGGGAAACCAAATTTTTTCGGCCCAAGCCTAAATTTTTTTCTAAATAGCGCATGCGTTTCTAAATGGTTTTTAACTATTCCTGAGCATAAAAACTACCCACATTTTAATTAAAAAATTTAATTTTAGGTGGAAAAATCCGATAGAACCTTTAGGATTAGCGGGGGGGAAAGACCCAAAATGACCAATTTTCGACTTTTTCAAACATTTTTCTAACTTTTTTGAAAGGTTTTTCTACCTTAAATATAGTTAAAATTTACTAAAAACAATGTGAAAACACTTTATATTTGATTACTAGGTCGACCGGGAAAACCAGGAAAAAATTTGGTTCCCCGGAAATCCTAAAGAACCAACACATCGGTGCCACTATTTTCAAAGTTATTCAAAAAAGTATGAAAATTTTGCCAAAAATTCAGAAACAAAACCTGGAGAAAAAGAGTTTTTAAAAGTGTCCGGGTATTTCTGGGAACCCTGTGCATTGTTTGCCAGCTAGTTGGCTTTTAGTTATTTTCCCGAAACCAGCATAGATTCTGTTAACTCGGTATCAAATTGAAAGCATACCCAGAAATTCCTTAAATCCAAAAAAAATATGCATAGACTTCACAAACGATTCCGTTCATACATATTAAAGAAATATCGAATAACAATAAAATGGAAAAATACCAATTAATAAGGCGATAATTTCGCAACTGCCATTCTGCATCAAGTGATCGTTGATCTTTGGCGACGTTTTCGTGCAATTACATCACGCCAATAATGAAAAGACGATAGCGCGGGGTCAGCTAGAGGCACGCAAATGGCACAAGTCACAACCTGGCCTGCCCAGGCTCCGCCCCTTTCCGCCTCACCTTTGCTCCCCTTTATAGCGCGGGGCCGCCATGCCATTTTGGAGAGAACAGTGAACCCGCATCACGTTTTCTCCCTCCGTTTTTCACAGCCAAACTCGCCTCGCCTTGCGCTGCAAAATTATTACCTGTGCCCGAAACGAGTTTTTCAGGACGCTAATTTCAGCGTCCTGAGCCCTTCTGCAAGGTTTTAAAATTCTGAAAACTTTGGGTCTCTGCTGCATTTTTCCTTTGAAATGAGCAATTTTGGAAGTTTAGGTTGTCCAAAAAATGGCTAGACTTTACTTTACCCCCTCCCCCGCGGAAATTTTCAAAAATTTTTGCCACTGCCACTATTTTTTTGGGATGTCGGGTAAGCCATTCGGTAAAACATCGGAAAATATGCTAAGAATTTCAAACACAGCTCAAAATCATGTAATGCAAAAAAATATAGCGAAAAACCTTTTGGAACTTCCCAGCTAAGGGGCGGGTAGAATTAGATCATACCCTCAGATAACCAATTCCAATTGCTATCTCCGGATTTCGAAATCCCGAGATTTTTCTCAAATTGACCAGCATTTTCGCCAAAAATTACCGAGATACGGATGAAGCTCCTATGGCTGGTGTTTACAAAAATTACAATTTAAGAGTTTTTGCGGCTTTTATGGCAGTCCAACGACAGCTGCTTTCTTTCTTTTAGTATCAAGAATTTAATTCAAACAATATGCGTAGACCGGTTCGCAAAACAACATTTATCAAATTGGGCCAATCAAAAAATTGTTTTTTTTTAGTGCTCACTTGTTTAGTTTCCACGGATTTCCGCCGTTTGCGATCAATGATGGGACCTCGTTTGGGAAGGCATCTTGCCTCTATTTACCTTGGGTGTTGCTCTTGTTTTTCTTTGGGGCGAAAGAGAGCCCGGCACGACCAATTTCCTACAGAAAAGATGGATTTTCTGATCTTTTATGATCTCTAGACAAAATTGGTTCGAGCAGCAGTCAAAAGTCTTCACCAGAATTTTCTTTGATAAAATTTTTAATGGCTGGTAAGATCTAAGTTAACCCAGAGTCTTCTGCCCGCCAATTTTGGTGTGAGTCTGACGCCTTAATCAGTATTTTTCTAGTCGCTTCCTTGAACTTTTTTTATCGTGGACCCCGCGTGCGCATGCGCTTATCATTCCGGTAAACGCGGGGTTTGTGCTAGATTGAAGTTATGGTCTATGCTAGACAAATTACATCACCTTACGGCGGACCAAACATTTTTTAATTGTCTCTTTCACTTAAAAAAACTTACAATCTAGAAAACAATTATATTTAGCCCAAAATGCGGTTACTTCTTCCTCTCATATGCCTCCTCTCGACCGCTTATGCATCGAAATTAGCCATATTTATGCTAGAAGTATCGAATAGTCAGGTAATTTGCGGTCTCTTTGAGCCCTTCACTTTTTCTATCTAGGTTATATTTAACAAACGGGTAGCAGAGACGCTTCTGCAAGGCAACCATTCGGTTACGTTGATCATGGTACGACCCTATGATAAGAAGAAACCGAAGGTGGACATCGATCCAAGGATTACAGGTATGAGTCTATTGTTCATGTCTTTTTTGTCTCTCCGCCCACCCTCTCTCTCTCTCTCTCTCTCTCTCTCTCTCGCTCTCTCTTTCTTTCGACTTTTTGTTAGTACACAGACCTTAGCGGCCCGCTTAACGTGGCTTAACCAAAAATCTTCACCTTTTAGTGAAACACGTCGATGCTCTAGTCGAAGGAATAAAGGCTGACGACTGGGAGAAAGAGCAGGCAAAGATGATCTACCAGGATATACCGATGTGGGACTCGAGGCAGCGAAATATGATGAAGAAGATGTCGATGGCCATGACAGGCTATTGCGAAAGTACGGTTTTTCTGGTGCCTTTTCGCGACGTCCCTTAAAACCATGGCCTGCCAACCTTGCGTTTTTCAGAGCTCGTCCAAAACAAAGAATTCCTAAAGTGGATGGCTGACGAGAAATTTGATGTCGTCTACACGCACATGTACGACTTCTGTGGCATTGGTTTGAACCACGTGATCGGGGTGAGTCGGCATTACAGACTGTTCATAAAGCTTAAAGCAGTAGTTGACCATCAATATTAATTAATGATAATGATTATAACAATAACTATTAGTCAACCGGTTGCCTTTAGGTCAAAGCTTGGGTGTGGCTGAACTCGGGCCAGATGATGGACTGGGTGGCAGACCAGATGGGAGTGCCGATCATTCCTAGCTACGTGCCGCGTAAGTTGTTGCCTTTTGTACGTGGGGCCCACTGTGCTGCAAAAAAAAATTGAGATTGATTTAGCAATGCTGATGGAATCGCACTCGGCCATGAACTTTTATGAGCGAACGAAGAGTTTTATTGGATTATGGTTGTTCCGGGCAATTTTCCCGAGGTAATGGAACTATAGGTTTTTTAATGCTAAAGTTCTAGGATGGTCCCGGCTTCCGAGACCGAGGTATTCCGGAAACATATCTCACCGGACTTCCCGGATTTGTATGAGCTGTCGAAGCAGGTGCGTAAAGTCGTGATATATGTTAATTTCATCGCATGAACGCTTAATTATACCTTTTTTCAGTGCCCACTTGTGATGGTGAACTCAAATGAACTCTACGAAATGGCTCGCCCCACTCTTCACAAAATCGTCAACATCGGAGGACTTGGCATGCGATTCGAAGATGCGAAGCCGTTGGAAAAGGTATTAATTATATTCAGCAATATTCTGATCACATACGATATTTAGAACTTCCAAACAATCGTTGACTCTGCCAAGAAAGGAGTTGTCGTTTTCACGTTCGGTTCTGTGACCAGAATGGAGTTGATGCCCGAGGACTGGAAGGTCAGCCTTAGAAATTTTTTATTTATTTTAATACGTTTCAAAATGGTTTGATAATAGGGTGTCCAATTTAGGCGTCCATGATGGCAGCTTTCGCCCAATTCCCCGACTACCAGTTCATTCTCAGATATGAAGGGGAGGATCTGGAGCAGATCCGCCCGAAAAACGTTCACCTTAGCAAGTGGCTGCCGCAGTCGGATTTGTTGAGTAGGAAAATTTAAATAGGTTTTCACATATTTTTAGAGCATCCTAAAACGCGTGGTTTCATCTCGCACGGCGGCTACAACAGTGTGCAGGTCAGGGGAAAACTGGCAACTAACCGAAAAACAAATCATTGACGTTTAAAATATTTTTGATGACATTCAAATATTTTTTAAATTTAAAAAATTTAAATTTTATAAATTTAAATTTAAATACATCAGAAACATATTTTTAATTGTATTTAATCTGCTCCGCAAAATCGAATTACTCCGAAAACACTAAATTACGGTAGCTTATAGCAAATTCCAGGAAGCACTAAACAGCGGCCAGCCCATTATGACAATTCCACTCTTTGGAGATCAACCTAGAAATGCCAAGATGGCCCAGCAGCTCGGTTAGTGATTTTTGAATTTTAATCACTAATGGAAAGCAATTATAACTGAACCTTTGATCAACGTTCAAAATTGCAGGTTTTGGCGTTAACGTGCGAAAAACGGGACTTTGTACCGAGACGGTCGTTGCCGCTCTGAAAGAAATGTTGGAGAATGAAAAGTGAGCTTTATTCTACCCTAAAGAATAAGTAAAACGCCGATTTGTGCGCTTAATACAACATTTAAGGTATCATCTTTTAACTATTTTTTTAGATACAACAACGTCGCCAAACGCATCTCCGGGATGGTCAAGAAGAAGCCGATCAAGCCAGAGGAGCTGTTGCTCAAGTGGACGACGTTCCTCGCAGAATTCAAGGTGATTTTAAGCAAAAATATCTACTCTTTACCTCTAGGAATTCGAAAACCTGGTCCCCTACGGTACAAACTTAAATTGGTTCGTCTACCACTCGTTGGACGTCATCTTGTTCCTGTCTACCGTGCTCTTCCTCGTCTTTTTCTTGCTCTACAAATGCGTCCGCTGTACAACACGGAAAGTCAAATCATTGGTGTGCGGAAACGGGTGCTCAAAGACGACAGAAAAGAAGAAAAAAGAATGAATAAGTAGAAATAAATTTTATTAACTTATGGAAATTGGTTATTTTGCGTTAAAACGCATACAAAATACTCGCCATTAAATAAAGCAAACAGCTTTGTTCAATCCGAGAGTCCTGAATTAACTTTAGAAGGTTTCTAAAGCCTAAAAAATAGGCTCTTTGGATCGTAAGGTTCAAAGCGAGCTCGGATTAGGACAGGATCTTGCTTAACGGCTATGTCCTTCCTCTATACTCTCCCCTCGCCACGAGCCATGGCTTCTGTGGCGCAATCGGCCGCGCGTTCGGCTGTTAACCGAAAGGTCGGTGGTTCGAACCCACCCAGGAGCGAAACGTTTTGCTTTTTGCTCAAAATCATCGCCACTGGTTTCCATTGTTTTTGCAAATCCATTACATTCCTAACGCCCCTGCATAACAAGCCAGAAACTGGTTCCGCCTGACGATCTTCCAATGAGATCCCATCTCGTAGATCTAGCAACTGCTCTTCACTGCCCAGCTTTTGGTTGCTGTTCTCTATTTGTAAAGCTCTCAAGTCCATAGATCGATTTGAATACCGATGTTTGGCCCCTTATCCGCAAATTTCCTACAAAATTTACCGCTTGAAAATGATAGTAAACCTGTTTTAGAGGGCGTCTTTTCCTTTTTAAGGTGATGCGCACACCGATTCAAAGGAGACCATTCCTACAAACTACAAAATTATCATTTACACTACAAATCGGAATCCTTGGAATTATAGCCTATCTTTGCTGGCTTTTGGCGGTTCATCGGCCCAATTGCTTAGCCCATCCGTCAAAATGCAGGAAGTGTCTCAGTCAGGTATAATTAGGGATGTCGAGATAAATAGGAGTGGCTTGGCTTAAGTAGCAATGGAGCACGAGGTGATGATCAGCGTCGTCGACTCTATCTCAGCCGGGGTTTATTCGGGCTCCCCTGGTTAATGTTACGCTCTCAAACTAACCCATTGCTCGGGCCTTTTGTTTTCCATTTATAGATTTATTAATAGATTGTATATATGTTGCGGAAGCAAGAGAAGAAAGTCTTTTGATTCAATTACGTGATGCCTGTACGGCGCACCCCTTTGCACTACGCCCTGTGTGCGCCCTCCCCGTCCCCCGGCACAAACCCTTTTTTGTGCGTGTCTTTTTCATTCTTTCCACTCCGCCCGTATTGTCTCGCGGCTTGTGTTATTTTTAGGCTAGCCCGTTATTGTAAATAAACTATTCTGTCCTCTTCTTTCGTCATATCAATTCAGGTGTCAAACGACTCTCTCGCAAGGTATTCCCTTGGAGTGAGCCAGCACTCAAGAACTCACGCACAGCCACACCTACAACAATTGGCGATCAAGGATTCGAGCCCGAATTGAAGAATGGCCGACGACCCCGAGCTCAAGGACGTGCTCAAGCAGCTCGCCGCCGCGAACCAGCAGATGACCGCTGTCATGGTCGCCGGGCAAGAGCGAGAAGCCAAGCTCATGGCTGAGCTCGAGCGGATCCGCGCCGAGGTCCAAACGCACACGGACTCGGTTAGCGAAGATTCAAGCCAAAGCCAAAGGCCTCTGAATGCAGTCGAGTTGGGCGCTCTAGCCACTCGCATAAGTCGATTCGAGTATGACCCGTCCCAGGGTATTACGTTCGAAAAATAGCATGAGCGGTTCAAAAACCTCATCGCCACCGAATCGCGCATCTCGGAGGAGAACAAAAAGCATCTTGTTCTCGGGATGTTGGATGCCAAATCCTATGGCTTGCTAGCGGATCATGCTCGACCCACGGAGCTGTCCTCGATCGCATACGACGACATCGTCAAGCATTTGACTGAGATGTTTGGAGAAAAGCTGTCGCTTTTCAGTCGACGATTCCTCGCCTTTCGCGTTGCGAAAGAGCACGATGAGGATATGCGATCCTACGCCGCTCGCGTCAACAAACTCTACGAGCAGGGTCGCGTCAAGGAAATGAAGGAAGATGAAGAAAAGTGTTTACTTTTCGTTGCTGGACTGTCTGACCAGGCACATCGCGACATCCGCAAGAAATTGATCCGTATTCTTGAGTCAAAGAATGACGTGAAACTGGATGATCTGCTGCGCGAGTGTGACTTGCAGACGAGCCTGAACATGGATGTTGTGGTCGAACAGCATGCCAATGTGAATCGTATCCAGCAGTCGGGATACCGAAAGACTTGGAACAAGGGCCCAAAGCCTACCTCTAGCAATGGTGGCTCAAAGCCTTGTGATACCAATGATCGGCCCCGTGGAGACAAGCGAAATGATGTGTGTCATCATTGTGGAAAGCGAGGACACTGGGCAAAAGAGTGTCGCTCAGATTCTGGAAACCGTGGAGGTAATTTTTCCAAGCAAGGAAAACAAAAACCACCGAAACAAGGACTGGAAACCGAAGGTGAACCAGGTCGTGCAAATCAATGCTATTGATTCAACGCGCAAGGACGTTGAAATCTCAATCGAAGGCAATCATTTTACGTTACAATTGGATACTGGCGCCGCAGTAACTATTATTGACGAGGCTGTGTGGCATCAGTTGAATTGCCCACCACTTACGCCGTCGGATATTCAACTACGAGCTGCCAACGGTAGTCGAATTGACGTGAAAGGACTGTTTGAAACCCGCTTTCAAGTGAAAGGCATTGAGGGGCATGGTCGTTGCTTTGTCACCAAAGACATTCGGTTGATGGGGCTGGATTGGATCAATCAGCTGCCACAATTCGCATCCTGTTTCGATGAATTGTGTGTCAATAAGGTTCAAGCGAAGCAATCCAAGCTGGAAAAGGAACTTGTTGAGAAATACCCAAGTGTATTTACGGATGGTCTTGGCTTATGCACTGTTGCTAAGGCTGAATTGCAGCTAAAAGCCGATGCGCAGCCAATATTTCTGCCATTCCGACGCGTCGCATTTTCTATGGAATCAGCCATTGAAAAGGAAATTCAACGTCTTGTTGATTTGACTGTTTTGAAACCAGTCACTTACAGCGAATGGGCGGCTCCGGTCGTTCCCGTCAAGAAGAAGGACGGTTCATTGCGACTTTGCGGTGATTTTTCTACCGGCTTGAATGATGCGTTGCAAGATTACCATCATCCTCTTCCCACAGCGGAAGAAATTTTCACCAAGCTCAACGGTGGACAAGTGTTTTCCCAGATTGACTTGAAAGATGCTTACTTACAAGTCGAGGTTGAGGCTTCTAGCCAAGAATACCTGACAATCAACACACACAAGGGACTTTATCAGTATCAACGACTGATATTTGGTGTGAAAACAGCCCCCGGTATTTTCCAGAAAATTGTGGATAATTTGATCGCAGGCTTGGACCGTACCGCTGCCTACCTGGATGATCTGTTGATCACCGGCCGGAACCAGGAGGAGCATGACGACAGGGTACGTCAATTGTTTGAGCGAATCGCAAAGTTCGGATTGCGCGTCAAAATGGAAAAGTGCACATTCGGCCAGGCTTCGGTAAAGTATCTTGGCTTCATTCTCGATGCCCAAGGCCGAAGACCCGATGGCGAACGCACGGCTGCGATAGCAAATATGCCACGACCTACCTGCCTCAAAGAAGTTGAAAGCTTTTTGGGCATGGTTTCGTTCTACCAGTCTTTTATTCCTCGTATGCGGCAGTTGCGCGCCTTGACGAGTTGAAGAGAAAAGACGCAAAGTTTCTCTGGCGTGAGGACTGTGAAAGAGCGTTCCAGTCGCTCAAGGAAATTGTAATTTCCGATTTGTTACTCTGTCACTATGACGCCAAGATGCCGATCGTCGTCGCCGCTGATGCCAGTGAGCAAGGCCTTGGGGCAGTCATTACCCACCGATTCGCTGATGGAACTGAAAAAGCAATCGCACATGCTAGCAGAGCATTGACTGTGGCAGAAAAGAACTATAGCCAGATTGAAAAAGAAGGCTTAGCCCTCGTATTCGCAATTCGGCGCTTCCACAGATACATCTACGGAAGGCGTTTTGTATTACTGACGGATCATAAGCCTCTTTTACCGATATACGGGTCGAAAAAAGGAATCCCACAACACACCGCAAACCGTTTGCAAAGGTGGTGTTTGCAATTGAACAACTACGATTTTTCTATTGAATATCGTAACACGACCAAGTTTGGTCAAGCGGATGCCCTTTCCCGTCTGATTCCGCCAAAATCGGATCCTGAAGAAGATGTCGTGATTTCGCAGATAGAAATCGACATTTCAGCCGTTTTTGAGGATAAATTGAGCCAAATCCCAGTTTCACACAAGGAAATTGCTGAGCAAACTGAACAGGATTATTCACTCAGCAGCGTGATTGACTCTCTGAAAAGTGGTTCTTTTCCAGACTGTTTGCCAGGCTCGTCGCTGTACGCCTACAAAAGTCTTGTAAATAACTTGTCAATTCACCGAGGCTGTTTGTTTCTGAAAGAGCGAGTTGTTGTGCCGAAAAGGCTACAATCGCGGATCCTGAAAATGCTTCATGAAGGCCACCCGGGCCAAACGAGAATGAAATTGCTCGCAAAGCAATATGTGTACTGGATTGGCATGGATTCAGACATCGATCGCATCGTGAAAGAATGCGAAGGCTGTCAGAAAGCCCAGAAGATGCCTGTAAAAAGTGAATTGACTCCCTGGCCTACTCCAAATCGTCCAATGGAGCGCGTGCATATTGATTATGCCGGTCCGATTGATCAAAAAAATGTATTTGATCGTTGTCGACGCTTACTCAAGATGGCCTGAAATCTTTGAGTGTAAGGTGGCAACAAGCCGAGTGACGATTGCCCAGTTGAGAGATGTTTTCTCGAGGTTCGGAGATCCGGAAACGCTCGTTTCGGATAACGGAACTCAATCCACTTCCAAGGAGTTTGAAGATTTCTGTAAGGAACGTGGAATTACCCATATTCGCACGCCGCCGTTCTGTAGTAGTAAATGCATATGCCGTGCATTTATAGCTAGCGGACGGTCTGCCTCAACATCTTTATTAGGAGCACGTGATGGGTTTCGTGATCCGTCGCAAGAGTAATTTGCATAAACATGTGCGCGGACGCGCCGGCGCAATGCGTTGCGGCGGCCGCTCCATATGGTAAACTGTCATTGGGACAAGGTTTTACGGGTCAGCCATGGGTGCCTGGGCTAGAGAAGTAGTAAGGCTTTGAGGGCACCCATGACATCTCCCCCGTCCACAAAAATGCCGTCCCGGCATGATAATCACAAAAAAAATTGTAAGATGCGAGGCAATTTTACATCGAACAACGCCTTCGGATGGAATTCGGAAATCCTACGGGGTGGAGATCCTATAGTTTTAGGACCAGGGGCCTAGGGGAAAGTTCAAATAACAAAGGGCTTTACTGGGCGAAACTGTTGCGCAACTTTCCTTCGACAATGTGCGGGGCTCCGGAATGCAATGGCTTAGCGCAGACTACCGTCTAACCGCCTCCCTCCGCCCATAGCTGGCTAGCCAACTGATGCACAACCCCGCAAAGCTATCAGAAAACGCATTCTCCGGGCAAAACAAAGTCTAGGACGCCCCCAGCGAGCACAAATTTGAAACAGGGCCGATAGAAAGCGGTTTTTGAACAAGCGCAGCACTAGGCAAAAAAAAATTGACGCGGGGAAATACATTTGCGCTAAACCTGGAACCGCCGTAGACGAATTGGGGGCTCATCCGCACATGGCACGTCAGCAGTGTCGGAATTGGACGTCTTCTTAGCAATCACAGAGCGCAGGCATCGAATAATAAGATTTGCGAATTTGGCGTTGTAGGATGGACTCAGGGACAAGAATGTTAGGGCATAACCAGTTGTTGAGCCGAATTGTCTTTATTTGCATCTTCGTAATATTTAGTCGTGGTGTAGCGGTTTCAGACTGAATAATCAGCAGGGGTAAGCACATTTAGGCATAGACAGGAATTCGGACCGGCTTATTATGAAGCAGAAAACCGGTTCCGGGACCTCCATGTAGTAGTAAATGCATATGCCGTGCATTTATAGCTAGCGGACGGTCTGCCTCAACATCTTTATTAGGAGCACGTGATGGGTTTCGTGATCCGTCGCAAGAGTAATTTGCATAAACATGTGCGCGGACGCGCCGGCGCAATGCGTTGCGGCGGCCGCTCCATATGGTAAACTGTCATTGGGACAAGGTTTTACGGGTCAGCCATGGGTGCCTGGGCTAGAGAAGTAGTAAGGCTTTGAGGGCACCCATGACAGTTCCATCCCCAGTCGAACGGATTGGCCGAACGTTTCGTCGATACCTTCAAGCGCGCTTTGAGCAAAGCCGCCGTTCGACTAACGCTGAAACTTTGCAAATTTTTCTGCGAACTTATCGGTCCACCCCTTGCCCATCTTCACCAGAACAGCTATCTCCGGCTGAAAGGTTTATCGGGAGAAAGCTTGTTACTCCCATTGCTCGCTTGCGTCTGCCCCAGAGCAACAGCAATACTTGTGCGAATCTCATCTTTCCGAAGGGGGAGAAGATGAAGATGGTTGAACAGTACAACCGGAAGCACGGCGCAAAGAAGCGTTCCTACGAAATCGACCAGACCGTCTGGGTTCGAGATTATAAAATACCTAGCAAACCTGTCTGGGTAGAAGGACGTATTTCTAAATTATGTGGAAAGTCCATGTACGAGGTTGAAACTACCTCTGGAGTCGTTTGGCGTCGACATGCCAACCAGATACGTGCTCGATTCGTTCGAGACGTACTCGATGATATCCTGGAAGAGTTCGATCTTGCCAGCGATGATAAAGTCAATGTGCAGGTCATTGCTCCACCTCTTGACAAGCCTCCCGAGAAGTCAGCTGCATCATCGGCCACCACTCCTACATCGATTCCCATTGTACCTGTTCCGAATGTTCCCCATCCCACTGCTCACCGGCCGACAACACCAACCAAGTCGCCAACAAAGTCGCATCCACCGATCACCGGCAAGATCACCAGCCGTGCCGCGGCGACCTCAAGTTGAACCGCCCGAAATCGCTGCTCAATACCCGCAATTTGAACAACTCGATGACGTTGTTCAACAACCACAAGGACGCGACGACGAACCTGAAGTTCGTCAACAAGATCAAGCACAACCTGTGAAGAAGACGAAGAAGACTGATGCCCTTGGACCGATCCTTCACCACAAGCGCATCCGGAAGCCGCCGTCGCGATATCAAGATTGAAGTGCCGTCAACGTCGTCTCCATCAAGCTCAACTTCATCACGAGTCAAGCTCTTCATTCAAGGAGGAAGATGTTGCGGAAGCAAGAGAAGAAAGTCTTTTGATTCAATTACGCGATGCCTGTACGGCGCACCCCTTTGCACTACGCCCTGTGTGCGCCCTCCCCGTCCCCCGGCACAAACCCTTTTTTGTGCGTGTCTTTTTCATTCTTTCCACTCCGCCCGTATTGTCTCGCGGCTTGTGTTATTTTTAGGCTAGCCCGTTATTGTAAATAAACTATTCTGTCCTCTTCTTTCGTCATATCAATTCAGGTGTCAAACGACTCTCTCGCAAGGTATTCCCTTGGAGTGAGCCAGCACTCAAGAACTCACGCACAGCCACACCTACAACAATATATATCTAATAAGTGTATAAAGTGTCCATAGTGTCGGAGCCAAATTTTTATTCAGTGGACTGCCGCGACCAAAAGTCCATCGAAAATCCACAATTACTGAAAAAAAGTGAAAGACACGTGACAACAACAATTAAAAACACGACGGTGGGGTTTTTTGGGACACCCCGTGGATTGAAAGAAATAGGATATCGTTAGCCATATCGGCTAATCTCGTAGATTCTGCAGTCCATTCGAAGGATGGCCGACGCAACATCGATGAATGAGCTCAAATTGCCAGACTTAAATATTTTCTCCCAAAATTGGCGCGCCATCGATTCCCAGTCCCTGTCGGCAGCTTGCAATATATCCTTCGTCTCTTGCTTTTGAACGTTCAAAGTTTTGACTTCTTTAATGACACCGTAATCGTGGAGCGCAACGCACGTTTTGATGAATGGCGCGTGATAGGCGACCCAACTGAGGTTGATTGCGCCGAACATAGGATCCTGATTCTTTGATTTGAGCTCGACAATCTGTTCTATCTTCCCATCCACGCACAAATGGCCGTCGCCTTGGATTGCGTAGTAATAGGCGAAATTTGTGGCGTCTGTAACCCGAACAATATAGAATTGGAGCGAATCGTGGTCAGCGATTCCCGTCCTAACAATCGACGCGTACTTTTCGAGGTTCTTGCCATACAGCAGCATACTCTTCTCATTGTCGCTAAGTTCACCCGTGGCGTCCGGCCGGGGTTTCTTACAAACAAAAATCACAATTGGTGCCCGCTTATATCGCATGAAGTTGCAGGCGTATGGATTGTCGCGTTTTGCAAGCCGGTGCGCTCGCCAATTACGGAATGCAGCAAAGTCATGAATGGTGGTGAATGCGTAGCGGCCCAGTTCTTCATCGTTTAGACAATCCAGATATGCCGGAATATGATGATCCATCCGCACTTCACGTTGAATACTTTTGATGCCCGGTGTCTTCAACGTCTTCCCCCGAAGCTTATCGATGAGCGGCGTGCCTAGAATTTCAGGGCGGTTTCGGTTCTGGGTAGCTTTTGCTCATCCTCCCCGCCCCCCTCACCCGCTAACGAACCAAAACCCTAGTTTCCGCGCGCCTGCAGGAAAGGCAATGCCAAGAAAACCCGTCGACCTGGAAGTAAAATAAATAGACGTCAGCATGAATTCCGCGCAAATGAAACGCGATAAGAACGTATGCAGTCTGGGTTTAGCTCAAACTTTTTGGAAAGTTCGTGAAAATAGTCCCGAAAACAGGTACAAAACCCTATGGAACGTCTTCTAGGAGACTGAGCATAGGTAATAAGAGAGTTTTTGGCTTGTTAGTCTATTAAATAGTTTGGACAATAATGCTCACGAAAAGGTTTTTTACGGCTTATGAAGTCCCGGAAAATTAGGCCATTGACAAAGGGAATAATTAATGAAGACGACCACCCACCAGAAAGTACGTTGCTTCGAGTTGGCAGCTTCACACGGCGAACAAAGGGGGGATTTTTCCGTAGCTGATCCTCGAAGACGATGTAGGAGTCGACAAATTCATAGTTGAGCATAGAAAATCAATTTTTTCGCACCAGCTAGCAAGCGCTGTAACGGCGGTTCTCAGGCCCCATATCAGAGCAGACGCACTTTTTAATGCGAGGCTGCTCACGGAAAAAACATAAACGACCCTGGCCGACTGGGATGTCTTACGCAAGATTTTGAGTGACTAGCCGTGTTTCGCATGGCATAAAGGTGCATAAAAGTCACATGACAATTTATAGAAAAACTGAAATTTACCTCGAAATGCTTGCCATTGGCGTCAGTCGTATTTCTATCTCACCCACCATCTATATCTCTCCCTCTCTCTCTCGCTCTCCCCATCCTCTCTCATTCTCTCTCTCTCTCTCTCTCTCTCTCTCTCTCTCTTCTCTCTCTCCCTCTCTTTCTCTGTCTCTCTTTGTATCTCTCTCGCATGCACACAATTTGCGTCTTAAAGCCTGCTTTGCATATACATTTGACTGAACTAAGTCTGGATAATCACCAGCTACTTCGAAAATATCATTATTTGGCCAATACCGACTTCTCGTGGTGATGAGGCTAATTTTTTTCCCAGTGCTATTCGTTCTAGCCAACGCTCAGTCTTCAGAGGTATCCTTAACTCTCTTACCTGGAATTCTTCGATTAGGATGCTAACGTGTGCGTGACGCCCGGCTGCACGATGATCGCTGCTTATATGGTGGATTTAGATTTGTCGACCTAAACCTCAAATTCATTTAGATTAAAATTAAACTTTTTGGATTTTCTCGAATAGTTAAAACGATTTACAAACGCATCCGCTAGAAAATAAAACAAAATAATAAATAAAAAAAAATAAAAGCTGGTCCAGCCGCGAATCCTAAACAAGCAGGTCGCCACAACTATTCAATTACCCCTTGACTTGCAGCTGAACAGCATCGACGAACGGGTCGACCCGTGCGAGGACTTTCACCAGTACGCCTGCGGCAATTTTATGAAAGTGATGTTCTAGCTCCTATGAACAATATTTTCCTGTTCAGAAGCAACGCTACGATGCCCTCGACGGGGCCGGCGGTTTGATGACGACGCAGATGCTCCGTATACCTGCGTCGTATCTCCCACACTACATATTTCAGATCTTGCCCGTGCAGACACCACCTCGTCTGCGGCGCGCCGTTTCTGGGAGCACGTCAAATATTGTGACGGGCAAAAGCCGTACACCCCGGAGTGGGATCCTTAAAAATTTGATCATTTTGCTTCTTTAAGCCATTTGAAGCAGTACATGCAGCGTTTTGGGGCCGTGACTTTGCTTGGGCAACCGCTGCCGGCTGGCCAGGTGCGTTTAAAGGGGTGAAGAGACGAGCCTAAGCTAAGCCAAAGCTCAAGTTACGCCTAAGCCTAAGCCTCAGCCAAGCTTAAGCTAAACCGAGGTCAAGCCGCGAACTAAGCCTAAGCTAAGCCTAAATTTCGCTTCACCTAACAGGTGTCGCATCCACTTTCCGTCCCCGGCCCCCGCGTCCAATACGATTTTCCAGAAACAACCCTCCCTGACCGACCTCGGCCTCCTCACCCAATTCTATGGCACCATGTCAGCGAGCCGGCGCACCGCATCTGGCCCCTACGTCCACACGTTCCCCGTCGGCGTCTTTACAAAGAAGGATACCTACGAGGTGTCTCATCTGATTGTATAGAAAAGCTCGACGCTTCAGATCTTTTTGGCCTGGCCGCTCTACCAATATCTCTGCAACGAATACAAGGTTAACATTTGGCGCGTGAAAGCGGATCAGGTGGAAGAATGCATCAATTCGGTGAGCGGTGAGAGATAGAGAGAGAGAGAGAGAGAGAGAGAGATACAGATATCCCTTCTCTTAGATGTTGGATGGCATCGTGGAACTGAACGCCGTATCCGGCATCGAGAGTCTCGATGAGAAAGCTCGAAAGAAGCTCATCGAATTTGTACAGAAATTGAACCCGGTATGGCCACGGGCCCTCTAAAATTTTTTTCGGCTTTTTTGAGATGCTCCGAAAAATGGTCGATAGCAGCCCGAAGCCTACCGAGCTCACCGTCAAGGAGCTGAAGGCGCATCTGCCAAATGTGGGGACAAAAAAAAATTCAATTTTGGAAGAAATCTGGTGGGTTTACCAACGAGAAGCGTCTGCCACGCCTTTGCGGAGCATGGAACCTTGAAACCGTTGACAAAGTATTCCGATAATTTTTCTGCAATCCAAAAAGCCGGAAAGCTGAAAACCGACAAGTTTCGAAAATTCAAACTCGGTTAAGAGTTTACGAACATTGAATTCAGGAACAGTCGAGAATTGAATTTGACATCATGAGAAATTGATACAAGGTGTGCCAACCCCCCCCCCCCCTTCCAAAAATAGTCATTTTCGGGTCGCTTTCTGTCAATTTTGATAATAAAATTGATGACAAATTCCAAAATTGACGTAATTTTCGCGATTCAAAAAATTCCTCTGAATGGAAAAACTATTGTCGAAAGTTCTGTAGAGATCTTACGATTCTACAGGACTTACGAGGGTTTAATTAGGCGGACTTGGCGGGCGGCCAAATTCTCCCTGGGTCCCGGCGCGCGCCCCCCAGCGGGTCCACCGTATGGCGGCCGCCCTCGGCCCGGGGAAAGGGGCATTTTCCCCAGTCGCTGCAATTTCCCCCTTCCTGGGAGAATTGCTGCCGGTCATTTCTATGACTGGTAGGGCGATTCGGTGTTGGTGTGATGTGTCCTGCATCCCCGATACCGGTGACCCCGGCGAGCTCCTATTCCAGAGTGTATTCCTCCAACCTGTCCAGACCTAGCGCATTCCCCTTATTCCCAGACCATTCCCCGACTTATGTATTCTATGTTCTCCGGTATTCTTGTATATTAATAAACTCTTATTCCACGAGAGTGTCCCTTATCCAGACAAATGCATTACACTACCGCTGATTAGCCGTTCGCGCGTCTTCTATTGGTTCAGGTCTTATCCCAACAAGGGATGCGGGTGGCAAGCCTTCGCGTGGGCGCTATTCTAGTATTTATTACTAGTCTAGCGTAGGGGCCTGAACCTTTTGTCATGGTGCGTCTACCAGGTTTCAACCGGGTCAATACTGCATTTGCTGTTTAAGCCAGACCTTTTGTAAGTTTAAGCAGACCCTTTTTTGGGGTAAGTTTCAAGCAGAAGGTACCGGAGCACTTCTTGTGCTAAGCAGACCCAGGTTTTCCCTCTCCAGTCTTTTTTGCCGTCTGATCAACGGCCCCCGGAAACCCGGGTGAGGTGATCGGTGGGTAATCATGGCCCTGATTGCCGCCCTTCTCAGGTTCGGCTCTGTCCGACGAGAGTTTAGCACTGCATAGCGCAGATGTTATTCACCACTCTAGTTCCCCATTGAACTGAGCGGCATCCATGGATAAGCGACCGATGAAAAATTCCGGCACAAGAAACGGGAGCTGGTTTTCTGCCTGCCCGGTGACCGATGAAATTCCGGCGTGAAAAACGGGAGCTGGTTGTCTGCCTGCCCGTAGCTTCTCAGATTCAATGGGGCGAGGAGGAGGAGGTTTTACCTCATTCAGGCCTACGGAAGACTGCAGACATAAAAAGTGGTCTGTAAGCAGCTATCAAGTCAGACGATATGGGAAGGTCGAAGACTAAGCAGAAAACGCGTTCTAGCTCTGCGCTAAACGTAAAAAGGAAGCACTTTGTGTTTTCGAGCTTGCCCAGGCACCGAACTTCGGTTCGTAGGAAGCAGACCGCCTTCATCAGTCGTCCAGAGCCAGATTAATCTTTTTTAGGTTTTACAAGGCCGCAGCAACGACCCAAGAAGGCAGATTTCGCGCTCCTCGCTGCTCAAGACAGCATTTGCAGGCCGGCTCCTCGATGAAGTGCGCACTCGTCGAAGGCCAGTCCAGAAAATGAAGACTTGAAGCAGAAAAGGACAATGAAGAGACGAATTCATGCCCTTGGCCTTGAGAAAGCCTTGTGGTTTTGTTTTCGTTGTTCCTTTGCGATTTATCGCACGTCTTTTCTCACCCAACGCAGACTTTTCGGCATTTATGCCACCGCGGAAGCAACATTTCCCGCAAGAGCAGATAGATTTCTCGTGCAAAACGTTTTCCCACGTTTTGTTTTGCTTTTCCCACTTTTTTCTATACCTTTTTGGCCTAGAATTCGACTTTTTTCTCAGGTTTTGCGCGGTGTCCCCGTAGCCTGATGGACGGCGCCGACCGCGGGATCTTGGCCTCATGCCACTTTTCCCCGGCGTCCGGCCTAAAAATTGTCGATTCTTTGCCCAGAAAGTCTCTATCTCACTTTTCTTTTCCACTCACAACTTTTGTTGTGTGTTCCAGAGTTGCTTCCAGCCGGGGAAACCCAAACTACCCAGATTTGAGCTTTCTCTTCGAGATCGCTCAGGATTTTCTTCCAGAAATGGAAGAAATATCCCGGCATTCGTTGCCACAAGTCAGAAAACACTCACTTGTGAGTGCGAGCTTATTGCTCGGGGCTTTTTAGCCCATGTTTTCCAACTATTCAGACTTTTTTTAGCAAAAAAGCAGAAGTTTTTGAGCTTTTTAAGCCAAAAACTGGTATTTTTTGATTCAAAGCAGTCTCAAGCCCGTCTTCTTCGACAGCAGTCGTCATGACCAACCGCGGACGTTATGGGACAAGTTGGACGAGGAATGGGCGCCGAAGCTGCCGAGACGATGGTCGAATCGCCAACCCAGAAGCTGCGATGGCCGCGCCAATGCCGGACGAGCAGACTGGAGGACTCGCGAAAAGGTAATTTGTATGTTGGACCGTTTCTCTTTTAGTTTCCCTTTGTTTCCTTGTTTTAGTCTAAATTTCGCTTTCAAAAACTAGCTGGTGATGTCCGATTCGTTTAGCAAACATCCCAGTTAGCTCAAAATTCAAAATTTCCTTTCAAAATTCTAAAATAACGGTCCTCATACAAATCCTTTAAGCGAATTCAGGCTCTTCTCCATCAACCCAAGCAGAATTGCTCTTTTTTTGAGCAATTGTTTCCCCTTCAAAGCAGAAATTCAAGTCGAGCTCGCCTAGCGCACGCTCGCAACCGGCATATTGGGCGCTGGCAGATTGCTGTTCCAATGCAATCAGCCGCCCGATCAGCCAAAACCCAAAGCAGAGGTTTTGCGCTCGTTTATCGAGCCAAAACTTTAATTTTTCTTTTAGATTGAAGCAGATTGCCTCTCTTCAGCGGCCGCGCGCTTCAGCTCGTGCCAAGCAGCGGTCTGATCAACTGCAGCAGGGACATCGACGAAGTCGGCGGCGGGAAGGATGGCAATGCAGATGCGCGTGCGGCATGCTTTACGGAAACGTAGAGTATTGCGGCAACGTCCGCTCTGCAGGTTGGCAGTGAATTTATTCATTGCCAACTGCCTTTCGAAGCAGAATTTCCTTTTCCCCTGGGAATTTTCCCATCCAGATCGGTTTTGCTTTTTTCGCACGTTTCTACGTGCAAAGCAGAGTTTTTAGCTGATTGTTGAAGCTAAACCCAGGCAAATAGGTCTTTGTGCTTGCACATTGCCGCCAGCTTGGTATTGCAGATACAATTCAGCCAAACTTTTCGGTTCCCTCAAAGCAGAAAGTTTTCTTTCGCTGATTTTTGAACAAAAAGTGCGAATTGCACGCCAACCAGACTTTCTTTCGTTTTTTTCCTTTCAAAACGTGCAGTTTGCACACAAGTCAGACTTTCTTTTGCCCTCTCTTTCGAAAAGTGCTTTGGCACACTAAAGCAGAGCTGCTCGAGTCGCTGCGAAGTGATGCGCCACCCGATGTGCCGTCAACGCTTGATGTTCACTCGCCGAGGTGTCTCCACGCGCAGCCACGCTCTCGCTCTTCATGGGACGAATGCTGACGTGTGTCTCGCCGACCCAAGCAGCTGCTCGTCTACAAAACCGGACGAGGAGGATACGATATGTAAGTCAGTTTCGCTTTGCTGTGAGCATTCTGTCTTACGCTCCGGCGCTAAAGGCAGTTAGTTCGCTGTAGAGTTTGCGAATTTGATTTTCTTTCCGCCTGGCCAGGTCTATGACCAAGGCACTCTGTGTTGCCGCGGATTGAATCTCGAATTCTGCAGACTTTACTTCGGGCTCTCACATCGTGTAAACAGATTTGGCATTTGCCAATGATGTTGAACGAATGCAAGGCAAACTGTCTTTTCATTTCGCGATTCCTTTTTCATATTTTTGCCGCTAGCTTGCTAGCCCCAGTCCAGACTTTTTTATTCGGCATATGCCTACACGCAGATTTTTTTTGTGCCTCTCGCACATCAAGCAGAACCTTTTGCTTTTTTCTTCTGTGCCTCTCGCACAGTAAGCAGATGTTCCTTTTGTGCTTCTCGCACATACATCAGAAAATATCTTTGCTTTTGTGCTTCTTGCACAAAGACCAGAACTTTTATCTTCTTTTAGATATATCACCGGCGTGCTCAACGGGTTTCAGCGTCCAGTCTCGAGATCGAATGCAGCCCGTACACCTGCGGTCGGTCGAGAGAAGGACGCAGGGACAAGCAGAGCGCCTACAACAAGTGCAGCAGCCAATGAAGATAAAAGCAGAAAGAATCGCGCATTCGCGCTACCCAGAACTTTTGTCTTTCTTTTGTGCTATTCGCACACGAAGCAGAATCTTTCTCTTGCCTTATCTTTCGAAAAGTGCTTATGCACATTAATCCAGAGATGCTTATGTTGACGCGTAGATGGATTCAGTACCAGCTAACGCCGAATCATTCTCTTGATTCGGTGGATAGGCTGCACTGTCGATCCGTCGCAGTGCCTCATCGCATCTTTCGCCTCCCTCAAGCGACGCCTCCATCTACTGCCAGCTGCGCTCCGCTCGGGATCGCCGCCGCGGCATCAACTCGTCGCCCATTCCAGGAAGCTCGTCTCAAAAACAAGGACGAGGAGATCGATGCCAAGTAAGTTGGATTGTTTTGTACTATGAGTGGATCTGTCTTACGCTTCGGCGCTAAAGGCAGACATCTCGTGGTGTAGTCTGTAGTTTTCGATGCCTTGTTCGTTGGGTGTTGCCTTACGGCATATGGCTTCATGCCACCACGAGCAGGTTTTCGAATTCTTCGGACTACACTACGAGCACTCAGCCCGTGTTGATATATTGGGCACATGCTCAGTGTATCTGCGCGAATACAAAACGATCCACTCTTACTACGCATAGATCTTTCTATTCTTTTGCTGCTAGTCTCTAGCACAAAGCAGATCTTTTTAGGTTGTGAGTTCTTACTCAATCCAGATTTTTTTGAGCTCTTGCTCAGCCCAGAACTTCTTTGGTGCTTACACCATCCAGGCCTTTGCTTTCCCCCAGATCAGGCTGTTGTCTTCCATGCTTCACGCGGGCCAAGGCTTCACGCACGGACGACAACCCGGATGCAAGACGATGCGTACTGATGCTTCATGGTCTTGAAGCGCACCAGTCAAGCCCACCAAGTCGATGAAGCATCTGAAGCGAAGTAAGATAAGTCAACTTTGTTAGCTTTGGGCGCTCTCGGGTTGACGTGAGCGCACCGCCGCCGTCCCCGTACGTTCATTGCAAAGCAAGTTTGTCTTCTCGAACTTCCTTCAGATTAAGCAGACCAAGCCTGGCATTGAGCAATCAATTGTCAGCCTTTAATAAGACCGAGAGCAGATCACTTCGGTGCTTACCCAAGCGCAGAGCCTATCCTTCACCGGATGTCTTTGTGTACGCAGACTTTCGAATTCCAATCCTTTGGAATTCAAGCAGGCCTCCTTCGGGAAATCTCGTAGGAGATTAAGCAGATTTTTCCCTTGCGTGTAATCGAGTTCTTTGCATTATTTCTTGTTGCAAAGAAAAGTAGCTCATGGATATCACTTGTGATACCCACATCGACGTGACCTAGTCACAATATGGCGGCCACCTATTGTCAGCTGTGCACTCTTGTATGGTTGACATTAGGATGGCACGCCATTAGAGGTCGATGTGCGGGACACAGTGTAGCGGGCATACGTCCGAATATCCTTGCACTGCTCAGTATTTGCGACTAGAGTTTAAGCAAAGTACTTTCTCAATCCAGATCTTATCGATTGCGGGCTGATTAAAGCAATCTTGGCGAAGCCAGCTTTAGAGCAAAGCCAAGCCAAGTCTTAGCTTGGGTCAGGCCCAGTCGATCCCAATCCAACCCAGATTCCCCTAGTTTTTCTCACGACGATTGAGTTCCAGGAGGAGCTTCCCGTACCGGAAGCAACCACTACTGTATTGCCCGGCGGAGTTAGTTTCCAATCGGAACTCAGTCCGAATTCAGACCTTTTTATTTTTACGAGCAGACAAGATTTGCCTTGTTAGATCTTCGGATCCAGGAACGGTGCATAAATCTTTTGCCCTGCCCTGGAAGACGGGATCTTACCAGTGTAAATTTCTCGTTGGGCTTTCAACCCATCGAGCTCAGAACTGGAATTTTTCGGGCTAGAACCGAACTCAGAGAGAAGGAGCCACAACCATCGCAGACCTTCTTCCTTTCAGTTGACTATGTCAACAACCACGCAGCCGCCTCAGAAGCCACTTCATGGTCAACAACAGCCATAATAGGATGTGACTAGGCAGAAGAGAAGCGGCATAAGGGCCATTCAGAAGAAACGTCAGCGACATCCAGACCTGATTCTCGGTTGCTACCTTGTGGCACCGAGTTGAGAAAGCAGACTCCTTCCCCTCTTTCGCTCGGTTCAGGCCGAATTCCAGATTCCCTTTCTCCTCGAGCAGGAAATGAGCAAAGCCGTAAGGTTGAGCTTATTTCTTCTCAAGTCGCCCATCGCAAAGTGGGTGCGACTTGATTTCACCTTCCACTGAGAACCCCAGTGGTGCTGCAAGCTTGCCTTCCAGTATCATTGGTGGTTGTATTCCCTTCCAAGGCAGAAAGCCCTGCAGTATTTTACTCAGGCAACTCCCTAGTTTACCCAAAGAGATTCCGATCTTGGCGGTCAGACTTTGTGAGTATAATCTTACGCAGACCTTCTCTTCAGTTCCAAAAAGACGCTCTTCCATAGACGTCATCTGGAACAAGAAGTGAATATTCCTAGGCTGACTCGAACTTTGTTCGGGGAAGCCGCATATCAGAATTCGGGCAACCTTTTGCTCGGTGGTCGAATGGATAGACACCCGGCCTCAGAAATTTTCTTTGGCGCTGGGACCCGTCAATTTCCTCGACAAGCAGATTTTTCCTTTGCTTTCGCGGGCTAATGCCCACAGTTCAGACAACAACGTCTTTGGTTTGCCGAAGCAACTTAGCTAGGCAACGGTCAAATTGATCGAAACCAGGGACGTTATCTTTTCTGAAAGCAGTAGCTTCGGCTTATTCTCGTCTCTGTCGCTGAAATAGCTTCAGGGTGCCTATATAGGCAGTTCTACTTTACCAGATCTTCTGGCATAGTGGATACGATTGTCGAGAAGAAGACAGAATCTCTCGGTTCAAATGCGCGCCAGGGCGAACCGGAACTTTGGGCCTCTGCTCCAGTCGGAGTATGTTCCAAGAGTTCGGCTAGCCTGCAGAACATTTACCGTTGATTCCAGATCGACTTCGAGACGTCCAGTTGGACAAAGCAGATTTTTTCTTTTTTCTTATCCCAGAAATGGATGGCACACAGCCTGCTCAGTTGTGCGCGCTTTATGCCCCAACTGTGCAGTGTGAGTTCATTACAAAGATAGTCCAGATCGTCAACCATTTGCGATGCCGAGTATGGAATTCTAGCTTTAGAGCCTATGGATTCTCTAACTTGGCGGAGCAGGTTCAGCCTCACGGCCCAGACTTAGCAAATGACGATCTCCGTCTATCACAGATCCTCTTTTACCGCCGTCCAGATTCTGTAGGTATATCAAGCAGATAACTAGGAGGGCTTCGTGGTAGATTTTCTCTCCACCTAGTCCCCCGCAACCAGGCCAGTCTAAATTTATTAGAGTGTCTTCGTGAATTCCAGAGGAATATTTCGTCTTCGTTCCTCTGGATAGCGATTACACGCTCAGGTCAGAATAGGAATGCTTTTGTGGGCTCAAAAGCATTTCTCTATTCTTAGCCCTAAGCAGTCCTTGGCCTCCACACTAAGCAGATCGGTTCATCACTGCCGTTGGCCGCCGCTGTCCAGCCTGTTGCCGCTCTACTCGTCCCGCGCCTTCCGCCGGCCAAGTCAAGCTCAACAAGTCCATCAACAGTCAAGCAGCCAAAGCCATAAAAGTGAGTCCCCCAGTTGTTCGGCAGGAGTACGGGCTCCTTAGCGCCGTTCAGCTCCCCCCCTGTTTCTTTCATTTGTCCCTATTGAGCCCCACCCCCGAGGAGTCTAACCTTATTTTTTGGCCCTCCCGTCCCCATACCGAGATTCCTTGTAATACCCAGTCGGTCCACTACCTCTATTGGTTTACGCTAGTTCACCCCTCCACTATCTGTGTACCACTCTGGGTGTAGGAGTCTTTTTTTCTTTTGCTGTGGGCGGAGGTCCCACTCGCCCTCCTAGTCTTGTCCTATAACCTCGTGCGGCCCCTAGACTGACCCGGAAACTGCAGAACTACACTAGTTCTCCACCCCAAGCAGACCCGCAGTTTCCGGTGCTCAGTAGGCAGAAGGTGGAACGCGAAATACTCTGGTCTATCTGAGATCAGTCCAGAAGCGTGAAACCCTAAGCCACCACCCAGACACGCACGCACTTCCGCCTTGGCCTCGGCCGGGCGGGAGTGTCGAAAGTTCTGTAGAGATCTTACGATTCTACAGGACTTACGAGGGTTTAATTAGGCGGACTTGGCGGGCGGCCAAATTCTCCCTGGGTCCCGGCGCGCGCCCCCCAGCGGGTCCACCGTATGGCGGCCGCCCTCGGCCCGGGGAAAGGGGCATTTTCCCCAGTCGCTGCAATTTCCCCCTTCCTGGGAGAATTGCTGCCGGTCATTTCTATGACTGGTAGGGCGATTCGGTGTTGGTGTGATGTGTCCTGCATCCCCGATACCGGTGACCCCGGCGAGCTCCTATTCCAGAGTGTATTCCTCCAACCTGTCCAGACCTAGCGCATTCCCCTTATTCCCAGACCATTCCCCGACTTATGTATTCTATGTTCTCCGGTATTCTTGTATATTAATAAACTCTTATTCCACGAGAGTGTCCCTTATCCAGACAAATGCATTACACTACCGCTGATTAGCCGTTCGCGCGTCTTCTATTGGTTCAGGTCTTATCCCAACAAGGGATGCGGGTGGCAAGCCTTCGCGTGGGCGCTATTCTAGTATTTATTACTAGTCTAGCGTAGGGTGCCGCTTCCTTTCGTCAACTATCTTCTTCATTTTTGCTAAACATTTCGAGGTCAAAATGCATCAAAACCTAGTGAAATCGATAAAATAAACCTTAATTCCTATATAACTTTTTTGTTTTAAAATATATTTTGCTCAGAAAATTCGGTTTCACATAGTTTTTATAGGTCCCCATGGCTGGTAAAAATTTGGTCCCGATCGGATAGAAGACGGCCAGATGCCGAGGGGGGGCCTGGGACACCCTGTAGAGCGCCGCGCGAGAGTATGCGCGAAAGCGCGGTTGGCATGCGGCGTGTCGGCAAAAGCAGCGAGTTCATAAGGATAAAATCAAACCCTCTAAATCTTTAATATTCAGTTTGACTGGGTGAAGTTCCTGCAGTACCACACCGTCGGACGCCCAAAGTCAAGCGTCACCGATGGCACGACAGTGCAGCTCCGCGGCGCGTTGCAGATTTATAAAGAGGTAAAAATTTCGTTATTTCCGGAATTCATCGATTTTGGAGTGTTGCTAAAATTCCTACAACTTAAAAATGCAATTGCTATTGGGCTACTGGCCGGGGCCCATCTCTGATTTTTTAGGGGTTTTGTAGTGGATTTTCGCGGCTCCCTGATGTTAGAATTGTACCTAACAATTGCAAAAATCTTCAAAATCTAGAATTTTTAGAATTTTTGATGAAAGATCAAAAATTTTTGGAAAATTTACTATATTTATGGATTTCTATACTTGGAGAGAGGGTAGAAGATATAGTTAGAGAGGGTAGACGATGATTTTTCTGGGCCCGAAGGCTAAAGCTAGGCACCCCCCGTTAACAGTCCAGTAACGTTTAAAGCTCAAGTTATTGGATTACGTCATCAAAATTTTGTTTTTCGACCCTCCGTCTCTGCCCGGTAACAGTCCAGTACCGTTTTGGTTATTGAAATACGACCATGGAAATTCCAGTTTTTCGACGTGCTCGACGCCGCCGAGCCGCTGGTCGTCGCCGATTTCGTGGTGTGGCAGTGGCTGCTCCGCGTCCTCATCAGCCCAGACCGTGATGACCCATGCGTGAACACGGTGGGTACCTGGATTCAAATTTTCAAAGCCTTAGAACGTTAGAACTCCACGAACTTTTGCGTTCTCACCCAATTCAGGCGATCCAAAACTTTGACAAGCTCTTCGAGCACTACCTGGCCACGGATCTGCGCAGCGCTGCGGATATGAAAGGGGCTAATGTGGGTTTTGGGTGCTGTTCAATTTCGCGGGGGAACTGTGCGGGGGGGAAATGTTCTTCGGTTTGGTATAACTCTTTTATATGATGCCATTTTGAGTTGTAATTAAAACTCTTGGTATATTTTTTGACGCTCTCTCGAATGGCCTAAAAGGAATTTTTAAAAAATATCGAAAATGTCGAAAACTAGCTTTCGACTCCACGATCCCATGTGGAAACGCCGTATAAACCTTGTTTTTGCTAAAACTATTTTATAAAACAATATTTTTAGATGAAATTAAAACTCTGAGTATATTTTTTGATGCTCTATCGATACGGGTTCAAAATATCGAAAAACTGGCGAAAATGCCGAAAACTAACATTTCGGCACCTGTTTCAATAGTTTTTTGTTTTTGTTATAACTTTTTTATATTAAAATATTTTTAGCTAAAACAAAAACTTTTAGGATAGTTTTTGATGCTCTATCGAATGGCGTTGCAAAAATCCCGAGAAAATAGCGAAAAGATAGAAGTTTTGGCGAAGCATATTCCCCCCCGCACAGTTTCCCCCGGACAGAACAGAACCGGGTTTTGTTTTGGTTTATATTTTTAAAAACCAAAGGTAAACCATTGACTCAACTTTCAGTACGCTTACGTAGGCAAAGTTTTGAAAATTGAACAGTTTTTAAAAGAGGTCGAAATTGCACGATTTTGTTTCGGAAAAAAATTTGCTTTACGGCCTGAAGCGGCTTTTCTAACGCCGCCTAAATCGGGAATCCGCGGCAATACCGTTAAATGCGTAAATATCGATTTTTTTTTTCAGAAGTTACTCGGCCCGGTCGTCGCCGCCTTCCACGAGATTCTCGACGAGAACACCTGGATCGAGACGGACACTCGAAAATATATGAAGGCCAGGGTTAGGAGGATGTGTCCAGAAACCAAAACTTATATTTTCAGCTCAACGGGATTCGGGTCGATATTGGCTACAACAGCAACGCGCTCGACACGCGGATGGCCGACGCGCTGGCCGAGGAAGTCAAGGAGTTCAGAAAAGCTAGAATTCTTCTATTTAGCTTCCCACTCCCACCGGCCCGTATAATACCGTCGCGCAGTTGATGCTTGCTGAGAAGGCCCGGTGGCTGGCTGCCGGTTATTTGGTGAGAGAGAGAGAGAGAGAGAGAGAGAGAGAGAGAAGGAGAGAGAGAGAGAGGGAGAGAGAGAAAGAGAGAGACAGAGATACCGAGAGGGAAAGAGAGTGCTGGGAGCGAGAAAGAACGAAATCTTAGGAATCCTACGATGAAATCTCAGCCCTAGCCGGTACTCTTGCAAAGGTCGGGGCCACCAACCGCGAGAACTACATTGTCGGCAAGTCAACCTTACATTTTTTCACCTACCACCCTAGTCATCCCGCCCGGCATCGTCACAGTGCCCATGTACTCGTCGCTGCCCGGTTTCCCGTTGGAGGTCAACTACGGGGGCCTGGGGATGGTCTTGGCGCACGAGCTGACGCACAGCTTCGACGAGATAAGTGGGTTCTGCATGGTTAATGCCTCTCGATGGTACACCTTGAAAATTGGGGTTTCCGACTGCAATCACCCCTTTACCTAGGCGACCTCCCGGCCGGCAACCCGGGCAACGACAGCGACGAGTTCACCGCCAAGCTCGGGTGCCTCATCGAACAATTTGGCCATTACGAGCACACTAATGAATACCTGAACTTAACCATTGCTGTGGGGCACAAAACAACCCTAGCACTAAATGAATGTAAATTCAGAACAACGGCACCCTCCAACAGACGGAGATCATCGCCGACAGCAACGGGATTCGCGCCGCGTTCAGGGTATTTTTTTAGCTTGCTTTGGCAGGCGTTTTTGAACCTGATTTGAATATCTTTAGGCCTATCGAAAGGAGCGGAACCGGCTTTACGGGAAAAACCCGCCGAAGTTGCCCGGCTTCCAGCACTTGACGAATGATCAGCTGTTTTTTGTGGGGATGGCGCAGGTGGTTTTAGAGGGGTTCAACCGGCATTAACTCACTTGCGCTGAAGCCTGAACTTAAGCCTAACCTAAGCCCAAGCTTAGGCCTAAGTCAAAGCAATTTTTACAAACCAAAATCCTAAAAAACTCCATATTTTTACAGCCATGGTGCGGCGCACGCGACGAAATTATCAGCGACGCCGACGGAGTCCTGAAAGAGTAAGCGTTATAAACCTCGACCAAACTACAGTACTCTTTAAACCGTATCCCCAATCTTTTAGCGTCCATCCCCACGCTGAACTCCGCGTCAAGGAGGGCCTCCGCCACCTCGAGGAGTTCGGCCAAGCGTTCAAGTGCCCGGTCGGTGGTTTTGAAATAATTTTTATTCTTGTTTGCTTTTCAGCGCGACTCGCCGATGAACCCGGCGAAGAAGTGCCGCGTCCTGCGCATCATCAGGAAGCATTGAATGATCGAAAAACCACAGAGTTCCCAGCAAGCGATGACCCGTGTTTCTGGCTGCATAACGCCCGCCTTTGTGTTTTCTCTGTGGTCCAATTGATCTGATAAAGTCGTGCTATCTCATCGTGTTTTTCTGTTTGTTACAGATTTTGTTATATTGAAGGATATTGAGGAGCTTTATTATTTGGCAGCATTTCATACACTCAATTATTGCACAACCAAAAAGGAACAGGCAAAAAATCTGATGCATCAGAAAAATAATCCCAAAATTGTACCCTCTTGCGCTTGATGGACAAGGAAGCTGTTGAACACACACATAGGCTTGGAAATTACAAGTGTTGTTTTCATGGGTATCGATAGCGTAAGGTGGTCACGGATGCCGGGAGGCCCATTTTTGGACCGCAAGAAGCCCAAAACAACACAAATTCAACAAGGTATCCAGACGGGTTAGGCGCGCGCAAGGCTATAGGTTCCCCTTGTTACGGTCAAAACAGCGAAATTAAAACAACAAGCCATAGTTCACTAAAAAAACCCAAGCAAGATGAATAATGATGACGCGTTGAACAAAATAGGTTGGGGAAAATAAGAACAGGTGAAAGGCGGGTAAAACTGCAACGAACATCGAGGTTAAAGAAATAAAAAACTTATAAAACAAGAACAAACAAGATTAGCAAAAGCGGTTGAAGAATAAAAAGAAGTTGACCAGGTATTGGTGGCCGCAGGGGGGTTGAAGTACAGCTGATCAAAGCAGATTAGGACAATCTATGAAAAAGAGGAGCTGGCGCCGAAAGACCATTTTTCGCCACCTTCTTCGGCTTCACAAGTTGAGATGGGTAACGTCGGCGGTTGAATGTCTTGACTGTGGAGTGTAAGAATGTGGAATCTTGCAGCGGGCCGTAGCAGCCTGCAATTTTGATGATTTAGTTATCTATCGAAAGTCGGAAAGGCGAGAAAACAAGCACTTTCGCTTTTCAATATAGGCCTTTTGATTCGCGAATTTTAGGGCCAAATCCATAAAAACTGCCGCTTTTATGAATTTTTATGAATCGTGTTAATTGCTTGCGAGGGTTAACAGAGCCACGCTGATTTTACGCTTTTTTAGGAAATTGTTTTTTATCGAGCGCGGGCTACAACATTGTTAAAAATGAAAAGCGGAATTTTGGCGCGGTTTCGGGGGCTTTCGAATAGTCTAAAAATCATTCCGATCCGAACTTCCTTCGGACCGCTGGGGGGCGTCAACTTTTTTGAGTTTTGGACCACTAGCTAGGTACTTACGTCAGCAGTAAGTGTGTCATGTTGCAGGCTGTTCTGTCCGGCCATCGCGATGCAGATGACATCAACTGGTGGGTAGGCGCAAATGCATCTAGAATCGAGTTTTTTATACATATGCTATCGTAACAATTTACCTTAACTATGTCGTTGTTTTCTACCGGAGACGAGGCTTAATTTGTCGATGTCCGGGAAATAGTTCTCGAATTTCGTTGGACCTAATAAACCTTTAATTATTCTGCTTGTTACTGTCGACTTACATCCGCTGGCGTTCAGAGGCTGGTAACTCAACATTAAGACGACTGGTGATTGTTGAAAAACGGGCTTCGGTCACGCTTTGCCAGTCTGCAAGAAAAAAAAATCGATTACACCACGCCACGAAAGCTACCTGGTGATAGTGAACTCAGCAACCCTTGATAGGCGGCAACATACCTAACAAGACCGTGGGCACGGAATTTTATGAATTATTGATTTCGTATTAGCAAATAGTTATTTTTTTTCTTTTCTTTGGAAGTGATAGTCGGTAAGTAATGTAATAAAAGGTTAGGAGTATAGTAGTAGTCGAATGTGATACATAAAAAGTTCTCAATAATAAACCGGGAAGATGACTCAAGGCCTCATCGAATAACCCGGTGCATCTCACATTCTCTCCTTAGTATTGCGGATTCGACGAGGATAGTATTCACTGGATTCCTGTTTTCAAGTTCTGTTTCCAGCTGCTCCATCATCGACTCAAAGTCTTCATCGGCTTTCTGAAGCTTTTCCTTTATTTCTTCTATGTATTTCTTATAGTCGTCGGTCGCTTGTAGCTCGACTACACTGTTAATGCGTTTACAGCGGTGGAACGCTACAAGCACATTCATGCAAGGCGCTATGTAGGCAGCCCAACGCAAAAAGCATTCCTCATCCATAAATAATTCATTTCTTGTCTTTAGCTCAATAAGTTTCTTGACCTTTCCCTTGTCGCAATGGTGGCCATCTCCCTGGATTGAGAAGTAGCATCGGTAGCCGGACTTGTAGGTAATTCGAACTATATAGAATTGTAATGAGTTCGGGTCGAATCTCTGATTCATAAGGCCTGCTGCCTTCTGCTCGAGTGCCTTCCCGCAAGCGAGCTGTTCGGTCATAATCTTGCCTTCTCGTTCTGGATGGGGGTCTCTGCAGCTGACGACGATGGTCATGCCATCATTGCACAGTTCGAATTCCATCGAAAAATCGGTGTACACGTTCTGTAGTCGTCGCAAGCGCCAGTTCCGCCATACTGCAAACTCACGAATGCTCGCATATTCGTACTCGGCGAGCTGGGCAGGCGCGAGTAAACGCAAATAGGCGGCTATGTGGTCCTTCATCCGCACCTCCTTGGTAATGGTTGCGCCCGCAGGGTCGGGGACTAAATACTTCCCGCGTAATTCCTTGTTTAGTTCGGGACAACTGGGAATATTGCTCGTAGTTGGCAGGTCAATAACTTTCACATAAGCAGGATCTTGACGTTTCTCGTCCTGACAGACAAGGTATGTAGCAATAATCGCGAAGGTCGCCATTCTAAACGAGTTCAGGCGGGTAGCGCTGGGCCAGGGGCACCTTATCACTTTTGTGATTCACAGCACTTTGCGAATCTGTTTTGCAAGTAATTCAGGGTAGGCGAATGGGTATTGATTTGAGGCCGAGTACGCCCGATAGGTGTGCCTTGTCTAGCGGAATGTCCAAAGCGGATGACACAAGACAAGACAAGAGGCGGTCGGAGCCGAGCCATCTACCCTGAATGTCTGAAAATAGACCGGGGAGGTAGCTTTAACTTTAAACTTCACTCAAAAACCAGTAACGCTTCGATACAATCGCGCATCAATATTACCAGGAGCAATCGCGGATTTGTGAGTGACTTTGCGCCATTATTGCGAAGCAATTATCACAAAACAGTTGCCTAATATCACGGTCAGCTTATTTCAGCCCCGTCGCTGGCCCTGATAACAGCAACCCGCCGTTGCTAGACGGTGCACTAAATAGCTTTGAATTCTTCACGCTTCACGCGAATCATGGACGAAAATTAGCATAAAACATTGCAATTAAGGCAACTCAATCTAGCTAAGATTTAAATCTCGAGAATTTGGACAAAATGAACTCGTTCCAAAAACAGCTGCAGTTTCATAACTGAAAATGCGGCTGCTCCAACTCGCTTCTTTGTTTTTGTTTTCCATTGGTTGGTTGAGAAGTTTTATCGAGCAATTACTTGGCAATAATAGGAATTACGTACGCCGTCGAGTCGGATTGGCCTACGTCAGATATATGGGCTACGGTAGAAACAGCTGACATCACCAGGAATCACATTTTTCAGACCGACGGCGTCTGCACGACGAAAGGATGCGGCGAGGCTGCGGCTGGCGTTGTAGGGAAAATTCAGACTTTCAAAAATTGAGCGTGGTTTTAGCTGGAGGCAATCGACCAGCAGCTGGACCCGTGCGAGGATTTTCACGAGTTCGCCTGCGGATCGTTGAATCGGGTACAAGAAAAGTTTTCTACCTTATTTTCATTTTTTTTCCAGAAGGCCAAATGGTCGAGCAAAATCCTCGATATGCAGAAGACGCTGTTGAATCAGTTGGATAGTGAGTTGGTTCCGGTCAGCGTCAGCAAAGAGGTGAATTTCAGCGCTTTTGCGGGCCGACACGTCGGGGCGGCCGGTAATCGGGAAGGCGCGAAAGTTCCGGAAGGTCTGCAAAAACTACGGCACAGATGATCCTTTTTTGGCGTAGGTTTCTATAGCTTTCTCACTCACTCTCTCTCTTCCTCTCTCTCTAGCTCTCTCTCTCTCTCTCTCTCTCTCTCTCTCCTTTCTCTCTCGCTTGCGCGCTCTCTCTAATCCTTAGCGAGCATTTCAGCGATATCCCGATCTACGCGCGCAAGTTTGGTGCCGTCCCCCTGATCAAGCAGAAACTGCAACCCGGCCAGGTGCACTGATGACAAATCTTCATCATCTCCTGCTTCCAGAAGCAGCCCTCCCTCACCGACCTCAGCCTCCTCACGTCGATGAGCATCGGCCTCAGTGACCCAAGCGACCTCTTCCAGGAACCCGGCTACTTCGTCTATGCGATCGAGGTGTTCCCCCTCATCCAGGCAGGACGCCTTTGACTCTGGAACTCTAAAAATTTCAGATTTCGATCCCGAGCCCGTTTCGGATGTTCTTCCAAACGAATCTTGGGGTAATCGACCTTTCAGCTGACGACTACACAGCAGTTATGGCTGAGGTTCGTGTGTCTAGCTACAGGACACTCCCTGCTAAGAGCACAGTACCTGAAATTGAGGACTAGGTGTCAACTGGCGCCTGAAGGTCGATTCTCCACTATACTCTTCTAGGGTGTCCGTCTTCTTCTGAAAGCCTTCCCCCACCTCGACCTCGACGAGCTCTACGACGGCCCAACATTCATGGATGTCTCCCAATTCTACGTGACCGTCCAGAACGTGGGGCCTAGCCAGGGGTTCAACACCTCGATTCAGTTCCATGCCCGCGAGACGCAGCCCAACCCACCGATCACCACGCTCACCATCGCCCAGCTTCAGGAGCTCGCGCCTGAGGTAGATGAATTGGACAAAGTCACTGATTTGAATTATCACTTGTAGTTTGAATGGCTGAAGTTCATCGGGAATCACGTCTACGGCGAGCGCAAAAGAGAGCTGGGCCCAGAGACCAGGGTGAACTTGCTGGGGTCGACGGCGATGTTTGAGAGGGTGCGTGGAAATTTACTGGGTGAGGGAGTGTGCGAGCGATAGAGGGAGATAGAGAGAACAAGAGAGAGTGCAAGAGAGACGGAGAGAGGGAGAGAGAGAGAGCGAGAGAAAGCGAGAGAGAGCGGAAAGGGAAAGAGAAAGAGAGACATTAAGACCCAGATATTTTCAGTATTCCGCAATGATCCGCAGCGCGTCGGACATAATGCCAGACGTATCGGTGTTCGCCTGGACTTCGTGGCTCGGCCGCAAGGCCATCTACAAGCACCTGGAGCTGACCTGTAACGACATGGTGTGTCTGGCAGCTGACCCGTTAGTATCTTTTTTTCTAGTGGGAATCTGCCTTCTTCAAGCTCAACGAGCACCTCCTCGTCCAGTATCTTCGAGCCGTCGGGGATAAGCCGCTAGTTGAGGTTTGACCGCACCATTCCCAGAACTTCAAGATTTTCAGGCGATTGGTGAGAAAGTGCGGGCCGCCTTCAGTGAGGTTTTCGATGAAAATACCTGGATTGAGGAGAGCACGAGGGATTGGCTGAAGAAGAGAGTAGGAAACCTAAGGAAAATTTAAAGTTTCTTGAAGCTGGCCAAAATGCCGGCCCACATCGGCTACAACTACAACGCCCTTGACACGGAGCTGGCCAATGACCTTGGCGAACTGGTGGGACACTTCCCAAAACTGATCAATGCGCTTATTTTTAGCTAACCATCCCCGACGAGATGTCTCCCATCGAGCAGATGATGATCGTCGGCCGGGCCGCCTGGATCAAGATGCAATTTGTAACAATTTTCAGCAATTTAGAGTTCTTGCTCTGTTTTTAGGATAAGGAGGAGAACGTTAGCAAGGTGGCCCTCGTCAACGCGTACAATGCGGACGGGGAGCGGATTGGTAGCTTTTTCAGCCCCGACCTGTCTCTCTCTCTCTCTCTTCTCTCTCTCTCTCCCTCTCGTTCTCTCACTTCTGATGCTTCAGGAATCCCGATGGGTATCATCTCCAAGCCGTTCTTCAATCGCCACTGGCCGTTGGAGACGCACTATGCCGGTATCGGCTACGTGATCGGGCATGAATTTACGCACACCTACGACCTCTGGGGTAAGAACTCTATCGAAGAGAGAGAGCGGAGAGAGAGAGAGAGAGAACCACAGACCTACCATGTTTCTAGAAGATCGAGGCCTGCCCGCCGACAACCCAGGCAACGACACCGACGAGTTCAAGGCGCGACAACAGTGCTTGATCGATGAATTCGGCAAGATCGTCCACCACAACGAGTTCTACAACATCACCGTCCAGGTTGAGCCATTTTTCCCTAGTGTGATCAACTGCTTAGGGCAACGGCAACATCCAGAAACAGGAGACGATCTCGGACAACAACGGCATTCGCACTTCGTTCAGGGTAGGTGTCGAACTGTCGCTGAACAATGGATTCTTCAGGCCTATCGCAAAGAGCGCATTCGCCTCTTCGGCGCCGACCCTCCGAAATGGCCCGGTCTTCAGAAGTACACCAACGACCAGCTGTTTTTCATTTCTCTGGCTCAGGTCTGTTAGACCTCTTGATGTCGCTGGAATTGATAATTTACAAGCTGTAGCGGTACTGGGCTGTTAGCGGGGGAAGCCGTCTGACTTGTGCCTCCCTGTCGACTTCTTAGCGATATATAGCAGTTTCTCTATTTTTTCGTGGCTTTTCCTTACGAAAATACGTCAAAACATTTGGGAATCTCAAAAATTGTTGAGATGTCGGATCAAACAAAGAGATTTCCGAACATTTTATCAGCTCTATTTAATGTAATTGTACAAAAAATGTCGTAAGAAGTAGGATACGAGACACGCCAACACACTAACATCTTTTTCGTAGGAGCTACATATGAAATTCGCCACTTACAGGGCTGGTGCGGCCGCATCCGAGGTGTGGAGTTCCGGAGCGACAACTGGCAGGCACAGTAAGACCGGCTCTACGTTCCGCAAGAGCGCTTTTCAGAAAACATCCCCCGGGCCGCATCCGCATCAACGAGGCCATGAAGAATTTCGAGCACTTTGGCGCGGCGTTCAAGTGCCCGGTGGTTCTCGAAATCGTTGATCATCTACTGCATCCTTTTTCGAAGTTTTTAACTTCAAAACACCAGTTTTAGCTTGACTCGCCGATGAACCCGAAGGACAAGTGCCGCGTGTGGCGCCGTATCAAGAGGCACTAGAGGGCCGGAGCAGCTAACGTCTTCGAGTTGATGCCCTGCCGACACCAACCAATCTCTCTTCGGAATGCCCTAAATTCTGACCCGTCCCTGTCCAATGTAATCCTCTCCCCAATTCCGTATATGTATTTCCCGAACGATATCTGTAGTTTTCTATGTATTGTTGGCTGGAATAAATCGTGTTGAGGAATTCTGACGACTGCACCTGTGATTGTGGCTTTTCTAGGCGGTTCCGCATCCAAATTCACTGAACAGCTGATCTGTCGGAAAGTTGATTTTGCGGGGATTTATCATTTTTTTTTTGTAAACCCAGAATTGCCGAGCCAAATCTCTAAAAAAAATCCGTAATCCAAAAATATCTTCATTTCGAAATCTTAGCCGAAGGATCCTTATATTTTTAATTCTTGGGTCAAAATTTGTAAGGTGGTTGCGTTTAAGGCTAGCAAAAACATTTTTATCAAAAAATCGGACGTTGGAGGAGAAAAAGTAGCATTCCCTTTGGATAGGGCCAAAGGGCTTAGAGTGCAGTAGAAAGGTTTACTTGCAGCTTACCCCCTTCCCCCCAGTCGCCGGCACCCAACTTTTGTATCTCGGCTCCCTGTTCATCTACAGGCGTGTAAGGTATACCAAAATGTTTGTCTTGCTTTGGCGAGTATTTTCGTATACATTACACACTTGTAGATGAACAGGGAGCAGGGATACGATAGGTAGGGGTCGGCTGGGGGGGGGGGGGTAAACTGCACTTAATCGGCAAAATAAACCCCTGTTCTGCAAGGTTATTTTCAAACCTTTTGACATTGCGAGGTATTTATAATTTGTGATTGGCATCCACGAATTTTTAAATGCATGAATGAGATACGCTTCATTCTCACCTTTCGGGTTAACGGCTTTTCAAGGCCAACATGTGGCTGCTCAGTTTGGCGAGCCTGTTCTTGCTCTGTATATGTACGTTTATAGCGACGTTTTCTTAACGGGAAAATCAATAGATGCAACGAGCGCCACAGAATCGGAATGGCCGAACGTTGATTTGTGGAAGACGGTAGATAGTCAAATCTCAAGTTACATAATAAACACTTTTAGACTGACGACGTCTGCACGACCAAGGGATGCGCCCAGGCTGCCGCTGGCGTTGTAGCTGCTCAAATCTAAAACTTTTCAATGCGTTCAGCTCGAATCGATGGATCAACAGCTCGACCCGTGCGAGGACTTCCATGAGTTCTCCTGCGGAGGGTATAATAAGGTACGTTGAAACGACACTACATCATTTTCTGCCCTCAGAGGTCCCGATGGTTTAGCAGGAATTTGAATTTGTGGAGCACAGTGCAGGATCAGTTGAGCAGTGAGTTTTGTCGAATTTGGCGGTTTTTAGAGGGGTGGGTAAGGTAGGATCCTGTCCAGGTGAGTAGCGATTTTTGGACGATACGCGACGCTCTCCTTGTCTTGAGTAATGGACTCCGAACTATTGACGCGTTGTGTGTTGCTACGCTGAACATCTTTAAATCGCTAGTAATGCCTTACCCACCATTAAATTTTTTTAGCATTAAAAATAAGCTTTTGTAGCGCTACTACGGAACGATAAATCGGCTCAGCTTGCGGTGCGGAGCGCCCAGAAATTCCAGGCTCTCTGCCAAGAATATAAAACAAAGCAGGCATTCCTCGAGTAAGTTTTCACCCACTCTTCTCTCTCTCTCTCTCTCTCTCTCTCTCTCTCTCGCTCTGCCTCTCGCTCTCTCTAATAAGCTTCTACAGAGACATCCCCAACTACGCGCTCAAGTTTGGCGCCGTCCCGCTCATCAACCAAGAGCTGAAGCCAGGAATGGTCAGCCTCATTTTTCCAACAATTCTTTTTTTTCAGAAACAACCCACGCTGACCGAGCTAAGCCTGATGACATCGCTGCATTTTGACGTGATCGACCTGAGCGTCATCTTCGAATCGATGGGCTATTTCATCTACGGGATAAGGGTCGCCGCGATCCCGACGGTAGGAAGGCCTGGAGCCGCCTAATTCTGAGTTTCAACCGCTTCCTTTTCAGATCTTGATCCCGAGCCCGTTTCGGATGTTCTTCCGGCCGAACATGATGATGGCTTCCATGGACGATGACTGGTTTGACTGGATTTTCAATAAGGTTGGTCAGAAATTGCAAAACAAGCACCACAGTGTGTTTAGACCGTCAATCACTTCAAGTTGGTCTACCCGGAATTCAACAAGGCCGCGATTTCTGAAAATCCGACTCTCCGGGGAATACGCAAATTCTACTTGGAAATCAAGAAGGTGGGCTTGGAAATGCGGAATTCAAGCTGCCTATCGCGAGGCGCGCGGTTGCGTGGGTGTCTGCAGTGGCACGGAACGCAACCGGAACGCAGACGGGTAGAAGAACCGCTATGTTAAGGAATACGCACCGGTTACTGTCATTTTAAAAAATTATAGTTTAGTTCCTGGTCGAGGAAACACATCCAATCCCTGTCACCACGCTCACCGTCGAACAGCTCCAGGAATTGGCCCCGGAGGTAGGTGCCCAATTCGATGCCTAGTTGCCGGAATTTTAGTTCGATTGGCTACAATTCATCGGCCATCACTTGTTCGGGGAGCAGAAGAGGAAACTGGGTCCAAAGACTAGGGTCAACCTCCTTGGATCGACAAGGATGTTCGAGCGGGTGGGTGGGTGAGAGAGAGAGGGGGGGGTGGGTAGAGAGAGAGAGAGAGAGAGAGAGAGAGCGTGAGAGAGCATACAGAAAGAGAGAGCGAGTAGAGAGAGAGAGAGAGAGAGAGAGGGCGAGAGGCGGGGGATATAAGGTCACTGTGGGAAAAAGCAAACGATTTCGTGTTGGAGAAATAGCGTCAGAATCATCGATTTCAGTATTCCGAGCTAATCCGCCACTCGGAAAAGTTGATGCCCGATCTGGCGTTGTACACGTGGAATGCGTGGCTGGTCGAGATGGTGCTCAACCGCTACGTCAATGCGAGCTGCAATCAGGCGGTAAGCAAAATGCCCCATACGAGGAGGGTCTTCCTAGTGGAAACTAGCGTTCCCCAAACTCGCCGAGCACTACCTCATCACGCATCTACGAGACATTGCCATGAACAGAGGGTTCAGGTTGGTGTTACTGGAATTTTGCCTAGTCATGAATATGTTCAGTCGCTCGTTGAAAAAGTTCGCGAGGCTTTTGTGGAAGTTTTCGATGAGAATACATGGATCGAGCCGAGCACGAGGGATTGGCTGAAGAAGAAGGTATCGTCTGGCATTGATATTAGAGTTTTCATTGTTTTAGTTGACTCGAATCGGAGCCCGCATTGGCTACAACGATAACGCGCTTGACTTGAAGCTGGCCAACGAACTCGCCGAAATGGTGGGTCGACTGCAATGTACGACCAGATCAGTTTCTCATTTTTAGCTAGTGATCCCAGATGAGATGTCCCCCATCGAGCAGGTGATGATCATCGGCCGCGCGTCTTGGATGGACAGCAAAATGGTAGCCTAAAAAACCCTCTTCAAGACGATCTGTAACTCTTAGGATATCGGTGACAGGATTGACGACGTGACGATGGTCAACGCCTACAACTTGGACGGCGACCATATTGGCTGGTTTTGGCGACGTATTTAACCTCAGCTCCGCAGCTTCCTTCATCTTCTACACTGCCAAATTTCCAGCCATCCCAATGGCCCTCATCCGGCTTCCCTTCTTTGCTTCTGACGCGCCACTCGAGGTCCACTACGGCGGCGTCGGCTTCGTCATCGGCCACGAGTTTACCCATACCTACGATGGATGGCGTGGGTTAAAAGTCGAACGTGTCGAAGCAAATTTAGACGAGCGGGGCTTGCCGCGCGGAGACCCGGGCAACGACACCGACGAGTTCTACGAGAAGCAACAATGTCTGATCGATGAATTTGGGAACGTCGAGCATCATAGCGAGTTCTACAACGTGACCGTCGTGGTATTGATTGAGACGCAACAAGCATAAACTTTATTACGGGTTTTTCATAGTGTTTTCGTGGGAATCGGATCCCTAAATATTAAGTGTTGTGGAGAGAAAAGGCTAGTCTCTTTCCCCCCACTCCCTATCCTGTGACCCAGTGACCGTAATCCTCCCCAGTTCAAATCACTCCGGATTACGTGTCGTAATGTCTTTTCACTGATGGGATTTGCTCCCTAAATTATCGCTCTAATTCCTTTTTATCCTGAAGCTGCTACGAATAAACTTCTAACGCGTCAGAAGTGATCCATCAAGCACAAGAGGCAAGCTAACTCGCGGACGCAACATTAAGTTAAAATGATGAAGCTACTTAGAATTTTTCTTAGCAAAAATTTCCGCAAGAATTGAAACGCTTTTTTCAACGAAAAATCATCCAATACGCTAGCTTTACTAACGTCCATCTGCAGGGCGACGGCGACACCCAGAAGCGAGAGACCATTGCCGACAACAACGGCGTGCGCACGGCGTTCAGGGTTTGAGCTTCAGCTGATGACCAATCTCACTCTCTGCTAGGCCTACCGTAAAGAACGTCTCCGCCTCTTCGGCAACAACCCCCCGAAGTGGCCGGGACTGCAGAAGTACACGAATGATCAGATGTTCTTTATTGCTGTTGCTCAGGTATGTTGAACTTCTTGGTGTCGCTTAAACTAGAGTTTCTAGCTCCCAATAGCCCCACGCCCCAATTGGTCCTTTATCAAATGAGGAAAGCCACGCGGATGTGTCCGAATCCCCCTCCGCTAACAAACCAGCACCCAAAAAACCACCTTCTAGGGTTGGTGTGGCCGCGTACCCGATGTCAAATCTGAGGACGACCACTGGCAAGCCGGGTAATTCTAAGTTACCTATGGAGATTTGAATTTCAGTCCCCACCCACCCGGCCGTATTCGCCTCAACGAGAACATGAAGAATTTCGAGCACTTTGGGCCTGCGTTCAAGTGCCCGGTAGGTTCCGAATGATCCGGTGAAAATGAATGCCGGGCTAAATTTTCGAGTTAAAAGCGTTATCAAGGCCTAAAGGAATTTTTAGCTGAACTCGCCGATGAACCCGGAGCACAAGTGCCGCGTGTGGCGTCGCATCAAGAAGCACTAGAAGAATATCGACTATCTCGAACGGCTTCCACTGTCAGCCCAGAGTCCTGCGATAGATACCTTGATTACAGAGACTGTGATCGTCGAAATTTATGCGTTTTCGTGTCTAATAAATTGTTTGAAAAACGTTCTGTCGTTTAAAAGCAAAAACCTAATTGATTGATTTGTTTTCGGTTGAATTTACATTTTCTCGTATTCCCTCAGAATTCCGAAATTTGCATCTTTCTGACGCTTGAATGCAAAGAAATCGCGGCAACCATAAAAAAAAATCCAATTATTCTGCTAACCACCATGTGGGTGCTCCGCTTGGGCGCCCTGCTTTTGCTTTCTATCGGTAATTTAAATCGACCGGTTTATTCAAATTTCTAAAATAGGCACCTCGCTTGCCGTCGAGCCGGGATGGCCTACGGCTGAGATGTGGAATACGGTAGTTTATTCGCAAAATCGAAAGCTGCGATGTTTTTTTAGACAGACGGTGTTTGCCTGACGAAGGGATGTACCGAAGCGGCCAAAGGCATGGTAGGGAACATGGACCCCCAGCCGGCGCCCAACTTGTCCATCTCGGTTCTCTGTGCATCTACAGCTGTGTAAAGTATACCAAAATGCTTGGTTTGCTCTGGCGAGTACTGTGGTATGCTTTACACACCTGTAGATGAACATTGAGCCCAGATACGTAGGTGGGGTCGGCTGGGGGAGGGTGGTTAACTGCATTTAAGCCTAAAGTATCAATTTTCTTCAAGCTCGAATCGATGGACCAAAAGCTGGATCCGTGCCAGAACTTTCACGAGTTCGCCTGCGGAGAGTACAATCGGGTAGCCTAGTCGCTTTTTTGAGCGATCGCTATGATTTAGAGGAGCAAATGGACCAACGCGATCACCGACATGCAAGTGATTGTGTTCGGGCAATTGAATAGTGGGTTATTGATGATAGCTGGAATTTATTTAAGCATTTGAGGCTTGCTGGGGCCTTTAAGGCTCTGAATAAAGCATGTTTCGGACGTTTGCCTCTTGCTGTTACTTCCAGATTTGCCGCGACACGTAACGCGCACGCGTGCGCGCACAGAAAAATTGCAAAAATCGATTTTTTTTTTATAAAGGCTGTTCATGCCTTTCATTAATCTGGAACCACTAAAACCGCTAAAAAGACTGTTTTCTTAAAGTCGAGACTCACGTTTTCCAGCAATTCTGAGGCAAGACACCTCCGACCAACCAGCCGTGCGCCAAGCCCAGAAATTCATGAAAATCTGCGAGTCGCACGACACCCTGGCTCCGTTCAACGCGTGGGAATTTAGTTGTCCAAAAACTCCAATGTAACGGCAAAACCAATGTATATTCTCTAGAGACATCCCGAACTACGCGCGCAAATTCGGCGCCGTGTCGCTGATCAGGCAGCAGTTGCAGCCGGGAATGGTGGGCCAAAGCATTGCGTTAATTTGCAGTGTCTCAGAAACAACCCTCGCTCACCGAGCTCAGCCTGCTCACCTCAACACACGTTGAGGACGTCTTCGATTTCACCTCCGACCAATTCTACGACGTCGGCGGCTTCTTGTACGCCATCAAGGTCTCGGAGATACCCACGGTGAATAAAGGGTTCACTTAAAAACGCATCGGTCTTGACAGATCTCGATCCCAAGCCCGTTTGCGACGTTCTTGACCTTGCATGCGGATATTGCCGAATATGACAAGGACACGTTCGCGCAATTGGTGCTAAGAGTGAGTTTTGTAGTTTTCTTCTCTATTTCTCTCTCTCTCTCCTTCAAAGTTAAATTCATAGGGTCTCAAACGCCTCGAGCTCGCTTACCCGGAATTGGCGCCTACGAAAACCGTGGGCACCCCCGAGATCAAAGCCATGGTTGGCTGGTACATGCATCTGCAAAAGGTATCTTCCTTCTCGAAATCCTCACTCACGACAACGACCTCTGAAATCCCTAGCAAAACCTCTAACTTCCCCTTAGTTCTACGTCGCCGAAACGAAGCCCAACCCTCCGCGGACAACACTCACCGTCGCACAGCTTCAGGAGTTGGCCCCGGAGGTAGATGGGTCCTAAAATTCCTTCTTGTAATTTTTAGTTTGACTGGATGCAATTCATCGGCCATCACATGTTTGGCAAGCAGAAGAAGAACCTGGGTGCGAATACGAGGGTCCACCTGGAGGGATCGACCGGCATGTTCGAGCGGGTCGGTCAAACGATTTAAGAGAGTGAGAGAGCGAGAGAGAGAGAGCGAATGAGAACGAAAAAGAGAAGATTTGATTATGATCAATATTTTCAGTATTCCGCCCTGATTCGCGACGCCGCCGACGACATGCCGAATATCGCATTTTTCGTCTGGAATAACTGGCTGGGCGACTACCTCAAGGAGCACCTACAATATGGTTGTCCCTCTATGGTGGGCTTTCCATCTCTTGCTCACTCACTCACACTCACTCACTCTCTCTCTCTCTCTCTATCTATCTCTCTCGCTGTCTAACTTCAATCCCTTTTAGTGGCGCAACTCCTTCTACAAACTCGCCGAGCACTACCTCATCAGATTTATACGTTCTGTCGGCGACAAGCAGAAAGTTGAGGTTCACAGCAAAATATGCGCTTTTAGGGTTTGATATTTTAGTCGGTCGGTGAGAAAGTGCGAGCTGCCTTCGGCGAGGTTTTCGACGAGAACCCGTGGATTGAGAAAAGCACGAGGAAGTTTCTGAAGAAGAAGGTTGGTCTCTCTCTCTCTCGTTCCCCTTTCCCTCTCACTCTGTCCCTCTCCCTCTCTCTCTTGCTCTCTCTCTCTTGCTCTCTCTCACTCTCTCTAACGAACACTGCTTTTTTACAGCTGGAAGCCATGCCCGAGTACATCGGCTACAATGACAATGCCCTCGATTTCGAGATGGCCAACCAGATGGCCGAAATGGTGAGAGGAAACTTGCCTTTGAAAACTCGCTTGCTTTAGATGCCCATCCCCGACGAGATGTCCCCGATCGAGCAGGTCATGTTCCTCAGCCGCGCCTTCTGGATCAAAGAGAACTTGGTACACTTCTGCGCACACTTTTCGAAACAAACTCTGTAGGACATTGGCGACAAAGTTGATTCGACCATTTTGGTCAATGCCCACAACGTTGGAGGGCGTCATATCGGTGAGGAACAGTTTTTGTCCGTCTCACACTCTCTCGCTCTCTCTCTCTCTCTCTCTCTCTCCCTCTCTCTCTTTCTCTCTCGCTCTCTCTCCAAAGAACCCATTTTTTTCAGTCATCCCTCAAGGCATCCTCAAAGCCCCGTTTTTCGACCGCGACTGGCCGTTGGAGACACACTACGCTGGTATCGGCTACGTGATCGGACACGAATTCACGCACACCTACGATGGATGGGGTAAGGAGTCGATAGAAGAGAGAGCGAGATAGAGAGAGAGAACCACAGACCTACCATTTTTCTAGAAGATCGAGGCCTCCCCGCCGGCAACCCAGGCAACGACACCGACGAGTTCAAAGAGAGACACCAGTGTCTTATCGATGAATTCGGGAACATCGTCCACCACAGCGAGTTCTACAACATCACCGTCAAGGTAGAGCGGCTTTCGGGAGAATGCATATCCGAATTCTTTAGGGCGACGGAATGAGGCAGCGTAGGGAATCGATCAGTGACAACAACGGGCTGCGCACGTCGTTCAGGGTAGCAGGCAGCGAACCGTAGCTGAACAATGCATTTTGCAGGCCTATCGCAAGGAGCGCCTCCGCCTCTTCGGCAAAAACCCTCCGAAATGGCCGGGCCTTCAGAAGTACACCAACGATCAGCTGTTCTTCATTTCCTGGCTCAGGTCTGTTGGACTTCTTGATGTCGTTGAGGTCTTCTTGATGACCTAGGGCCTCACCGAACCTCGGACTTTTTCCACCGGAATTTCAGGGCTGGTGCGGGCGCATCAGTGACGTGAAACGCCGCAGCGACGACTGGCAGGCACAGTAGGGCACTTTTGCGGCTGCAAAAGGATGTTTTAGGCCGCATCCACCTGCCAGCATCCGCCTCAACGAGGCCATGAAGAATTTCGAGGATTTTGCGGCCGCTTTCAAGTGCCCGGTGGGTTGCCACGTTTCTCACTCTGTCTCTCTCTCTCTCTCTCTCTCTCTCTTTCTCTCTTCTCTGGCTCTCACTCTGCATGACACTTTTTTTAGCGCGATTCGCCGATGAACCCGCCGATCAGATGCCGCGTGTGGCGTCGCATCAAGAAGCAATAGACGGTCCATGGCATCTACTCGACATCAGGCACCAAGCCACGACCCTCATCATAATACGCTCGATTCCGCCCTGTGCCTTGCTACAGTAACCGCCCCAGTTCCCTTTGTATTTGTGTATTTCCCTGCGGAATAAATTTTTTGTGGGCAGGAATTTGATGGGATTGCGATTGCGCGAATCTGTATGCAGTTGTGGTTAGTTAGCCGGGAGGGGACGGGGGAATCTCGGAGATACGCATGTAATCAACCAAAAAATTTGGATAGGGACTACAAATTTGCATAAAATTCCGACAAATAAGGTATTTCTCGACTAGAGGGCTCGTGAAGCGGTTTGGTATCGACGTCTTTTTCAATTTATAATTTTAGTCAGTCGATGATTTCCCTTTGTGTCCTGTTGCTGCTTGTAGGCGGCACGTTTTTTGGAAAAAGCCACCTACAAATGCTAATACAGGATCTGTTGAGGCGAGGGATTCGGATTGGCCCACGGCGACTCATTGGAATACGGTAACCCCGTAATCTCTTAGACCAAGTTTATTTTTGGTTCTGGACTGTCGGCGGGGGCAGGGCCAAAAAAAACCCCAACAAGGGGCCCCCCAAAAAAAATAAAAATATAAAAAAAAGTGCGGGCGGCAAAAAAAAATAAAAAAAAAAAAAAAAGAAAAAAAAAAAAAAAAAAAAAAAAAAAAAAAAGCGGAAGGGAAAGCCCCGGGGAAAAAAAGGAAAGGGCCCCCCCAAAAAGGTTTCCCCCGGGGGGGTTGAGGGGGGGGCCCCGCCCCCCCCCCGCCCGCCCCGCCCGGGGGGATTTTTAGCCGCGGAAACCAAATTTCTCCCTACGATTAGCTACGGCCATATAACAAAACATAAAACATTTTATAGCATTTGACTGAGTTTTTAGATAGAAAAACATTATGAAAAAAAATGAAAATTTCGACAATTTTCGATTTTTACATCAAAAATGTATGAAAAATGACCAAAAACGATCAACATTTCGGATTTTCGAAAAAAATGTTTTTGATGACTTTCTAGCAGTCAAAAATTGCTAAAAATACTATAAAAATTCATTATAGATCATTAATAGGTGGCAAAACAGAAAGTGAGTCTCCAGGCTGCCAAACCCCTCCGCCCCGCTGACCGTCCAGAAACGTTTTTTTTTCAGACAGCCGGCATCTGCATGACACAGGGATGCGTAGAAGCGGCCGCTTTCATTGTAATTTTTCTGCAAATTTTTTAATCTCTGCAAATGTAGTTCGATGCGCTGGACCCAAAGGCCGATCCGTGCCACGACTTTTACCAGTACGCGTGTGGAAAGTGGATAAGGGTACTGTGGAAATTGCGATAGTGGAAATGAAAACGATGTTTTTAGAAAGGACATGAGCTTGTGCAGGGCGAGATGATCTTCGCCAGCCTCTCGCGGTTGGACGGTAAGATTGAAAACAATGCCCAACTTTGACGTATCTAGCTTGGGGGCGTGTAAAACGGGGAAACAACTTTTTTTCCTTAGTACCCAGTTTTCTAATATGATCCGTGGACGTGTTTGTAGGCTGTTTTGATAATTTCTAAAAGCAAAAACTATACCAATCTTTATAGGAGCTACAAAAAATGTTGCTGTTCGACCACAATTTAGAAATTTTTGGGTTTTTAAAATTTTTAGTTGGTTTTTTAGCTTCAAACGTTATTAAATTTGGCTAAAAATACTACCAAGATACTTTCTATTATGTTACGCAGTATTTCCAAAAGTTTAGGGAAAATCGGTACCCTGCCCCCTACACCTACCTAACAAGACGTTTGGGTCAAGGATTGCCGGGACCAGCCTATCTGTGGGCGATTCGAATATGGTACCGTTTTTGGGAAGCCATTTCTCGAAAGTCGAACGATTTAAACCTCAAAACAGCCCAAAATCGCCACTCGATAGTCATGAATAGGCTTTAGACAAAAACTTGAGTGTGCATCTTGTTCAGAAAAAAATTCTCTATCAAATAAGCCATTTAACTCAAAAAATGTTGGAATTTTGGAAATTTTTGTAAAATTAGGGGCCGCCCATCAATCAAATTTTCTTACTTTTCAATGATTTTGGAGAAGATGGTATATCTTATAGAGAATTTTTTTCTGAACAAGATGCACTATCTGGTTTTGTCTAAAACCTATTTTGAAGCCTTTTATGACTATTGAAAGTAGTAGATTTTAGGCTGTCTTGAGGTTTAAATCGTTCATAACTTTCGAGAAATGGCTAGTCCGCAAAAACGGTTAACATATTCGGAATCAGCGTAAAATCTGCACAAGATAGGCTTGGTCCCGTGCCAAGGTCCCGACGACACTCAAAAACGTCTCCTTGTAAGAACCGTTACCTGATCTAGACTTGCTGAGACATGATACCCGAGATTCGCCGGCCGTGCGCACGGCACAGAAACTCCACCGGCTATGTCGGATGTACACCGAGGATGAACTATTTAGGTTTTTTTTTTGAAAATCCAGATTTTTTGAACAGCTTTTAGTTCTATCCCCGCGTTCGCCAAGAAATTCGGCGAGGTGCCGTTGCTGGGGCAAAAGTTGCAGCCGGGGATGGTGGGTGGCTGAAGAGTTTTATCATTTTTTTGCAGGAACCACTCACACTCACCGAGCTCGGCCTCATTTCTTCATTGTATCACAATATCAAGGATAGCCAGTTGGACGCACATCTATTCCCATATGCAGGGCCCCTTACATTTGCTATCGACACCATGGCCATCCCGGAAGTGAGCAGGGGCTTTGTCGAATTTACCGGCACTGGACTGTCATCGGGGGGGCATGATTTATAGCAGAGGAAAAAGCATATTTTTTAGTTAACAGTTTTATATTCCTAGGAAATTACAAAAAAAAACTAAAAACATTGGAAATTTTGTAACACTTTTGATGATTAGGTTATTTTTTCCAACAAGTCAAAAATTTTCCACATTTCTGCAATTTTTATGAATTTCTACTTCATTTATATCTAAAAACTGTGCAAACTGCTATGGAAACGGTTTCGATTTTGCATTTGGGCCGGACGGGTTCGCCACGGAAAAATCGGGCCCCCTCGATAACAGCCCAGTGCCGTTTTTCGCTTGGGGATTTGGAAGTCGTTTGGCCAACCATTATCTTCAGATCTCGATCCCCGCTACCTACAGATGGTTCCTCCTCGACACCAACGGCGTCAACCGCACTTTTCCGCTGGCCAATCGTCAAAAATACCTGGCTAATCTGTTTAAGACGGTGGGAGTGTGATGAACCGCAAGATACCATATTTGCTAGGCGAATCGTGCTCACAAAATCCATTTCCAGACCCTGGACCACATTCAAAAGTACTTCCCGGCCATGACCGGCCAGGAGAAGCGTACGACAGGATACGTCGCGGACATGACGGCATTTTACGATAAGCTCTGGGAGGTAAAATCCCTGGAAAAGCTCAGTGCGGTTTTTCCAGTTCTACGCCGGCTACAACGATACCGATTTGACAAAGACGAATATCACGCTGGGTGAACTTCAGGAATTGGTTCCGGAAGTAGCTATTCAGTGACGTCATTAACACTGATTGATTTCAGATTGACTGGCTAAAATTCCTGTCCAACTACACGGTAGGGGAACAAAGGAAAAGCCTAAGCATGAAGACCAAAGTATTGTTGCGCGGCGAGAAGGGGATGTACGCAAAGGTAAGTGAAAAACGGAGAGGATGAACAAGGAAAATTGCTGCAGTATTCCACTCTACTACGCGACACAACGACAATGCAAAACGCGGCATTCTTCAGCTGGTACGCCTACGTGATGAACGACCGTCAGCTCACGCGCGCGCCGTCTTGTCTCGTGCTGGTTTGTTAAGGAATCTCGGCCCTTTGAAGGCACGCCTAGTGGCATGAAATGTTCAACAAACTGTCCGAGCACTATGTGGCCAAATACCTCTATGCCGATGTGGACCTTGGCGATGTGGAGGTAAGGCGCAGCTTCAAGCTACTGATTTTCAAACTTCAGACCCTGACTGAAAGTATCCGGGCAGCCTTCGTCGACGTGCTCGCCGATAACAAGTGGCTGGCCCCGGAAAACAAGAGATTTCTGATCGAAAAGGTTCCTTATATCGAGCATTGTTTTCATCGTTTTTTAGATAAAAAACACGCCCGCCTACCTTGGCTACAACAAGAATGCGCTCGACCTGAAGGTGGCCGACGAGTTGGCCGAGTTTGTGGGTTTTTCGTAATACCAGAATTTTTATACCACAGCCCCGCAATCGCTTATCCGCAATCTTGACCATCTGCGCAGGTTTAAGATAATCCAAAACCGTACGGTTTTTATTGAAAATAAAACCGATCGTAAGCATTTCAGGACCTCCTGAAAGTACCTCCGAAAATCCCAAAAGTTCGAATACAGCAGCGTAAAATACAGTGTAAAAAATTGTGAAAGTTTGTTTGTAGATTACCGTTCCCGATGACCTTTCGCCGATCGAACAAGCGATGGTGCAAACTCGGGCGAAATGGGTGCGACATAATTATGTAAGTTTATGTTTTGAAAACAGACATTTGTCATTTTTGCGGCTCTTTCCGAAAATTCAAGCATATTCAGGATCTCGGCGACATGGTGACGATGGGTGCGTTGCCGCTGTTCGACGTGAACGGGCAAAACGTCGACAACAAATATATTGGTGCGTTATTGCTTGAAATTGTACAGTTCGAAGAGGGGTCGACACTACAACCTACAACATTTAGTGCTGACGGTCGGCGGCTTTGCCAAGCCATCATTCGACCCGCGCTGGCCGCTCGAATTCAACTACGGTGGCCTCGGGATGTTGATTGCCCATGAATTCTCGCACTCCTATGACGCGACCGGTACGAAAATTGGCTTTAACAAGTTAATGAACCGAGATTTTAGATGACCTCCCACCCGGCAACGTTGGCAACGATACCAACGAGTTTCTGGAGCGCCAGAAATGCATCGTCGACCAATTTGGGAACGTCACCCACTCGAACGTATACCTCAACATCTCCGTCACGGTATCGAAAAAGAAACTATTCGATTCCCTTTCCGTTAAAGACTACCAGAACGATGGAACGCGCACTGTCACCCCGAGGGTGCTGCCCCCAAGAACGCGCAGAGAGGGTCGTCATTAGTGGTGTCCCGTATTGGGCAAAGACCCTCTGGGGTTTGGGGCGCCTCTGACTCCCTTGCCCACTTGGCCCTGTGGTATAGTGGCTAGCGCGTCGGACTGTGGAGCGAACCATCGCGGGTTCGACCCCCGCCCGGTGCGCAACTTTCTTGCTCTAAACGATATTTCATCGTTCTGACGGTCTTTAAGGGTGACGGCTGGAATCAGAAAGAGGAAGCTGCAGCTGATCATCAGGGAACGCTCGTGGCATTTCGGGTATCGTTACGACAATTGACTAGCTTTCCGAACATCAAAAACAAAAATGGAAACCAATATGAACCAATGAAAATATTTACCCACGTTTTTAAGGCCTATCGCAAGCAGCGCAATCGGCTCTTCGGCAGTAATCCACCAAAGTTGCCCGGTCTCCAGAAGTACACCAACGATCAGCTCTTCTTCCTCGCCCATGCTCAGGTCTTGTAACACTTTCCGATGCCTTGAATTATTTTTTAGAACTGGTGCGGGCAACTCGACGAGCTGAAGACGCCCGAGTATGCGAATATCTTCAAAAAAGTAGCCGATTTAAGGCCACGAAATAACCACATTTCTTAGACGCCATCCACCCTACTCGGTGCGCATCAACGAGGATATGAAGAACCTGGAGCCATTTGCGACGGCGTTCAAGTGTCCGGTGAGTTGACTTCTAGGGCTTTACAGGGAGAACGACACAAAAGTTGGACACGGTTTTTCAGCTGAACTCATCGATGAACCCGGAGAAGAAGTGTCGCGTTTGGCGCCGCATCAAAAAGCGCTAAAAGACCAAGAAAATATTGAAGACGTCAATGGCCCCGAATATATTTGCTTCGTAGTTCACTTGTGATATTTTTGACATGACTGTTTTGGGGAATAAAAATCCATGTCGTGAGTGGTACGTGCATTTATATTAGCAATCGAAAGCACGTCACCTAACAAAACCCTTTAGAAAAGGCTGAAATCCAGAGCCGACGGCGAGTGGTTTATTTCCGTAAGCCGCTTCACGCGTCTTCTCCGAGATTCGACACTGCCGACAGACATTGCTAAAGAGCTGAAACTCGTTGGGCAGATAGACCTTTTCGCGCTCTTTCGACTGATGCCCTTCTCGATCCTAGGGTCCCAGTGCGGATCGAGATATGATGGTTTTAGTGCGGCGACAACTTCGACAGGTACACCTTTCGGCACTAAAACGCTCCCCTCTCTGTCGCCGACGATTTTGGAGAACGGCAAGTATACCGCTGGAAAGAGCGTTCAAAATGCAACCTTCTCAACGGCTCAAAGAAATTCTATCAAGCTTCTTTAGCCTGCTAGCGCGGTTAGAAAAAAACATCTCCAAATCGTCCGCCGTGTTCAACAACCTCGAAGGAATGCGACCAAGCGACCCCCAAATGAGTTGCAATCGAATTGGCGCCGAGTTGTGCGAACTGCTCGAAAATGATGTTCATCTATTATCTGGCATAGTAAAACCGGGTTGACCCGGTTTTCGGACCGCGAGCTTCGGCCCGAAAACCGGACCGGGCTAATTGCCCAACACTACCATCAGCTTTTTGCGCTCCGGAGGTGGAGGATGAATTGTCTACTGCTGCCACCGATGACCAGCTCCAGGAGTAGCTCTGATTGTTGCTTTCTTCCCTTACTGATAACTGCACTTTTTTCGATGCTTTTGGCCTTCATACCTGATTCAGTACATTCATCAATGTTTCGTGATCTATACAGTAAGTTTTTGTGCGTCTGGCTTTGTGTTCGTCTGCATCCATACCTCGTCGATTTGGTGCTTCACTTTTTATGGAGTTTATTAATAAAGGTCCATTCAATCAAGGCTGATGCAGGACGCGCTGAGGAAGTATTCGATAGTATCTTTACTTGCCCATCCCATCTAGTGAATGATCGGGGTGGACGAAAGCCTAAAAGAGCAATTCGGATGTGCTAGATTTTTTTAACCGACCTTGTCAACAAATTCCAGCGATTCTAACTTTATCGTCAACGGCTCAATCAGCTCATCATGGATTTGTCGAAGGGTCATATTGGGATCAGTGACCACATGGACCTCAACGCGAACCTGAGACGTAGTACTTCTCGTTGTTTTGCCAAACTGACCTTATTGCCGGCATGGTACGCCAGTAGCGCGTCTAGACATCTGACGTGCGGCTCTTCTATGCAGACTTTCGTGATTCGCGACAACTCTTCGCGGGAGCAGACGCCACCTAGATTTTATGGAATTTGCTGAAAAGGCATATTACCCATGATTTGGTAGAATTGTTCTTTCACCAACTCAAACCAAATCCATGCGATGTACCCACTCAAAAACATATTTTGTTTAATTTGGGGAAATGCTTGTACCTGACTAGCGCAGCAGTAATAGGATCTGCAATCGGGGCCACATATTCCGACAAAGCAGCTCCAATGATAACCACGCTGTTGGTTACGACATCATTTCTAAAGCTTTCAGTTTTTTAACCGGCCAGCCCACCTTTGATCGGTCGCCAAAATCTCTGCACTCTTCGACTTCCGCTTGCTGCACCAGATGAAGAGCACGATTTTGATCAGAATTGTTGAGAGCAGGATGAGCAGCGAGACGGGTGTGATATCCGGCGGCGCCTAATCGGTGTGTAAGCTTGCCTTTTTGCTTACCCTCCCGAAGATTAGGGCTCTTACAGAATCCCAGACGATTTGAAGGTTAGCGACGCCCATCACCTAGAAAGATATCGGTTACCTGGGATGTTTTTTGGGTTTTTTTTTTGTCTAAAATTATTTGGGAGCAGCGCCCAAAACCCGCTTCGCGGGCCTTGGGAGCTGGAATGCGACCTTTGCATGAAAAGTTTGACTTTCTGATAACTCGGGTCTTGCGGACTTCCCCCCCCACACCCACCCCGACCAAACGCGCGAGTGCACCTGGCAAGAATGAGGAAATTTGTATTTTTTTCACATTGTGCAAAGTAGCCCTCAGGTACCCCAAAAATGAATAAAACCGGCTTTAACTTTGTAAACTTGTATTTTAACGGAATTCTGAAAACTCCACCGGAAACAGAAGGGTCGATTCCCCCGGGTGACGGAGAATTAGGGCATTTTATACACGGGAAGGCCCTCAAATCGGGGCTCAAAAGTGACATCCACACACACACACAGTTACACCAAAATTATATAAGGTAGGATCTTGGAATCTGTGACCTTTAGAAACATTTTTAATGCTGTTAGAATAGTTTGATTACCCCGGACAAGAATAGCAGCGACACATTCTCCAGGTTCTCTCGGCCTCGCGGATAATGCCATGTGTCGGTGTTCATGATCAAATGGGTCGCGTACCAGACGGCAACGCCACTGTAATCTGTTATCATGGGGGACCAGAAATGCCTAGTAACATAAGAGCAATTATTTCATTAGTGGTTTGGCAAATTATAACCATACCAGGGTTGAAAATAACCACACCGCTTCGCGACTTTTCAACCCTGGACCCGTCGAAATCCCATAATATTCTTCGAATGATAATAAAAATGTAAATCCCATAATATTCTTCGAATTTCATATGTGAAACACTGAGAAGTGCTCCCTCTCTCCCATTAAATAGGCCATCGTCGCTTCCGGCGTAGGGTAATTATTTCCTAACAAAGAACTCGCCCGATTTTTGAACAAAAAACTTAATCTTAACGGCGAAAATAGCATAAATTGCAAAACCTGGTATGCGTGCAGCCATCGGTTCCGTTACGCAGCTAATGACGTATCTTACGTAGCTGAAAACCCTTCCTTCAAGAGTTGTCCTCCGGACACGGTGACGGAAGTTGCATGCAAATCCACACTGACACACAAACACTACAGGGTGTCCCAAAAATCTCCCCCCCCCCCCTAGCCGGCCGCAGACCTGTTCGATTTTTACGGTTTATGTTTTATCCAAAGCTCTCGGAAAGGCGAGTCCAGCACGTCTTTCCGATTCTTCAAATTTTGAAATTTTTTTATAATTTACTAATGGTTTTTGCGAAACGCGCGGATTTTCTGATGTTTTTCTGACCAAGGCGTTTCTTTACAAAAATCGCAATTTAAGAATTTTTATGTCTTTCCTGGCAGCCCAACGACAGCTCTTTGAAAGCGCTTTGCGAAAACACAGCTTGGATAGCGCTTAAACCGGTTAAACTGTGTTTTGGACAAAAAAGCGAGTCCGTTTTGCCTGAAAAAGGCCGAATATCGAGCAAAAAATTCCGACATTTCGAAAATCGGCAAGACGTGCTGGACTCGCCTTTCCGCGAGCTTTCGATAGATACCTAAATCGTAAAAATCGGATAGGTCTGCATCCGGCTAGGGGGGGAATTTTTTGGGACACCCTGTACTTTTTTAGATATCCCTATTAGACCGTGACCCCCCTATTTTTCTAAACACTGTTCGGTTGGTTGCCTGGATTTTTAGGGGGGACCAGCATGCATGCTTGCATAGTGATAACGCGGCAGCGGAACACCTGGTGGCGCGTCGTTAGGCAAAACAAGCACCCGGTGATGTCAACGATCGAATCGAGTAGCGTCGAAATGATGGACAACGAGGAGCCGTGCGTCAGCCATGTTGAGAAAGCCTAAAAATCGACCAATCAGCTGAGCTGATTTTTGGCAGGCATCAATTTTGAAGCTCGATTTCTTATTTTTAGATTTACCTTCGCCAATAGAAGCCCTAGATTCATGCCGAGCACGACGGTAGAGACCCATTGATCGGCTTTTGTCTAAAATTCAATTTTTCGATCAGCGAAAATGCCAACAGCATCCTCCTTATTTTCCATGGGACCCCCATTTCTGATGCATTCCCCATCAAGTTTGTAGGCCTCAAGCAAGGCTTCTTGTTTCCTGAAATTCATTTTGAAAGCACGGCGGGTGGATTTACTCGTAATATTCGGCGCATTTCGGGTTCTCCTTAGAAGAAGCCGTTGAGTGTCGTCGCTTCTGATGATTCTCGTGCTTCTGCCTTTTCTGCTCCTTTTTCTTTAGTTCATTTGGCGAGGATTTCCGGCGACTTTGAGCCATCGCTGTAATCGGCTTTTTTGAAGCGGAAGTGATGGAAAGAGAACAATAGAACGCGAATGAATGAAGAAAACGAAATTAAGGTTCTTTCGCATTGTCGGCGGGGGGAGGGATCTTTTTTCATAAGCTCGAATTTTTGAAATATAAATAATGTAGTGTTTCTAAAGAGTTTTCTACTATTTATAAACGTAAAAAATACCAAATATAATTAATTTTCGACCAAAGGTGGCCGATTTTTTACCAAAATTTCAACTTTTTCAAACATTGAAGAAGTTTTCTAGTTTAATTATGGTTATAAACGCTTCCTATCACATTAACAGACATTTCGAAAGATGTACAACGTGGTTTGGACCCCCCGAGAATGCCGACGAACCGAAACTTTAAAGGTTCCGCTGTCCTTCAGAAGGGCGAAAGAATTATGGGAGCCATAAATCGGGGGGTAGTGTCGCGGGGAGCTCATCAAATTATCACCCCTCGGGTTGCTACCGAGCAGCGGGGCTTATCAGGCGACCGGACCCCCAACTGAAAAAAACCATGCATTTTCGGGTGGATGGGGGAAAGTGTTGACTAATTGTGTGAGTGAGCGGCGTCGTCGCCCTCAATGTGTGTGGGCCCCAAGAAAAATGGGCCCCCAGGGTGGAGATTATTTTAACTCGACGAGCTGAAGACGCCAGCGTATGCGAATATCTTCAAAAAGTAGCCGATTCAAGGCCGCAAAATAGCCACATTTCTTAGACGCCACCCTCCCTATTCGGTGCGCATCAACGAGGATATGAAGAATTTGG